GTATTAATTATTAATGTGATGACCGAGTCAAGTGACGATTACTTGGATGTAGAATAACTTTTTTTGATAAATATTCTAACATTTTTTTATAGCTAATTTTACTCCTTCATTTATATTTATAATAAACATATTAAAGTAAGAACGGATTTTTCACTGCATGGGCTAATAATAATCGAGGAATCGCACCGATGAAATTCTACACAAATTCGTCAGTTTTCAGCATTTGTATGCACGAAGTACCGAAGTACGGTTCTGGAACATCATTGTGGAATTGCGAATGTATTTATTGAAGGTAACAAAGAGACCCCCGAGCGAGGTAGGCCTGTGGTTAGACCTTCATAAAAATTTACCAGAGTTAAATACCGAAATATGTCGTGAAACGATATATGGTTGGGCGAACTTTAACTACTAAAAATAATACAGTAAGCTAGAATAACGAAAGCCGAGTTAAAAAATCAATTGAGTGTGTTGTTAATACACGTTACACTTCTGTAGATTGCTACGATGCTATCGTATTGATGAGGATACCCGGCATAAACATTTTTGAGGATTTCTGAACGAAACGTCATTGCCGTGGTGATCTGTGCAACGCAACGCTGAGCATTTCGTTATGGCTGGTTAAAATACTCGCCCGCTGACTACCTCAAAGGAATGTAATTTACATTCAAATTAGGCGTTAACTTTTGACGTATTGGCTGCGGCAGCCACATCAAAGCCGTCCTTTGATGCGTTAGTTGTCCAGACTATTAAACTAATCATTCAAATTGGTCTTGTTTGAAACCAACGATTCGAGATTATGCCAGGGAAATTTGGAATGTATTAGGGGTGTAAGATCAAGCGTTCCGACCGCCAACTAGTGCTGTAACGGAACTGAGGTCAAATTTCTATTATGCAAAAAAAACTATACGTCGGAACGGTCAAACGTCCCCACAAATATTAGCGCATAAACAAATGTATGCAACCTGTCCTACTACACATGAGTTATTTTGAAATTGCTAAGCTTAAGTTATCAATTTCAAGACGTAAGGCAACTCTGAAGTGTTATTATAATAAGAAAGACTTTGCATAATTCTTGACCAATATTTTAAAACGAAAGATTTGGCAAGATGTCATATTAAAAAATGGGGATATAAAAAACTCGCACTTTACAAGAACTTTATATATAACGCCACAATGAGATATTATTTTAATCTATTCCCTAATCCACATGGGATTTCGGACCAATCAATTTCACGTGTGGTTCGAAAATATTTTACTGTGGATCACAGCCTTTGAGTCTAGGAAATAAAAACCGAATTGACAGTCAGTTACACAAACCGCAGTTGCCGATATTGCCAATATCCGGGCGAAATGTCCATCAGACTGGGATCCAGGATAAAATAGTTCGCCAATCTTTTTCGTTTGATCAAACCGCCCGGAATTGATTGGTTATCAATTTATGCTTTTCTTGTTTGGCCGCTAGATGAATTTCTCCTATTACGGGAAAAAATCTACTTCGTACTATGTCCATTACATTGGATAAATTGTTAAGCACTTTTAACTGAGATTTCAGTAAATTTTACCATGAGAATGATTGCACAGACCTGCATATAATTTGACGCCGGTTTGTTTGGAGCCGACTTTGAAACCAATTTGCCCTGAATTCGAATATGCCATTAGCTTATGTCTAGTACCTTGAATTTCAAAAATATGTTATGTTACACTCTTGGTACTTGGTATTTTTTAATATCATACTATATGAACGTTATTAGTATAACATTTATTCAATTTCAGAGATGGAACTCATCGAAAAAGCTCATTGAAAACTTTCCTTTCCGTGACATTCTTGAATGTATCTTGACCCAAATGAAATCTTTGCTTTTGCTTCTCATTGACATCTCCAAAATTCTGAGAACATTTTTAATGTTCCAAGAGATATGACTTGATGAGCATTACATTTACCAATTTACCAAATGATGGTCGTTCACCTTCATTCTATGATTTTAAGAAATCGAACCATCTTTTTCCATCCTGAGATCACTTTTCGCCTCCTCAGGCTCAGCATGCTTCATTGACAACAACTCAAACAACATTTTTCCTCATTTAATAAATGGAATATTAATTTCATTTATTTCTCCAACCTCCTCCTACTCTGCTATCCCAGAGACATAAGAAGCAAGGCATTTATTTGGTGTAGCCATCTGTCGCTGTCCACGAAAAAACTTAACTACTTTTAAGTGTATACAATTCACTAATTGATGCTCTTTAAAAAGACCAAGCTATGTTTATGTTCAATGATCAATATCTGCATTGAATCATTATTTATTACCTATACATCAACCTTAAAATAATTATTTTAAAATTATTATTATTATTATCCACTAATTTAGAAGTCAAACGCATAAAGCAATTTCAGCCATACCATTTATGTACCTACTTACCGGCTAGTTATTATTTCCCTTTGTTTGCGACATTAAACCCCAGGGCAAATGATTGTTTGAGTAGAATTGCTTTACGCCTACCGCACATACAACTAATAATAATAATTAATAATAATAAAATATGCTCGTGTCAGAATACATATTTTAAAATGGATCGTCTCGTGCTCTGAATGTGAGACTTTTGATTAAAAATCTTCAACGTGTTGGCTTTCGATGGATTCTCCCCAATAAAATAACTTTAAAGATGTTATTACCTATTGTTATTGGGTAAAGCCATTAACAACAAACTTATTCTTACTTGAGTAACAGTACTGGGGTGGGCCAGGAATATTTCTTTGCTTCTGATATATTTCTTGAGTGATTGGAAAAAGTTCATCAAATCATTTGGCGCTTGATGCAAAACAAGTTGTGAAAAATGTGTATAAAACATTAATCAGTAGAGAACTTATTCAACAAGAAGCTTTAAAAAAAACCTGCCTACTTAAACGTGGTGAGTTTGAAAATCAGGATCAGGACCTAATAAAAAGAAAAATATATTGTCTTTAACGAAGCGAAGTTGTTCCTACCTTGGATAAACTGAAAAAAAGCTAGAAGAAAATGAAACCAATATAAATATAAGCCGTGCCATCCTCTAGAGTTGTTCAAAAAATGGGACTTAAGTACCGCAAAACAGACAAACGACAAGTAGTAATCGAAGATATTAAAAGTTATAGATTAGACAACAGATCCATCATTTACCTTGATGAAACATGGTCCGATACACACGACACTGTATCCATTCAAAACTGCCTACTGCACCTACAAATAAAGGAAAACGCATTATACACGACGGATTTTTCCCAAACTGCTTGCTGTTGTCTGCAACGAACATTAAAAGGATTCTAGCTTGGATTATCATAAGGAGACAATTACCGGACTTTTTGAAAACTGGTTTCTAAACAATTTTTTAAAAAAACATTCCCAATAACAGTTTTATTGTCATGGATAAAACAAGTTTCAACAACCATCTGCTACACAAAGAGTCAGCCTCATCAAGTTCAAAAATTGAAATTCAGGATTATTTGTTAGAAAATGGTATTTATTTTGAATTCAGGTAGTCCTAAATTCATGTGCAGTTAAAAAACAGTATGTATGCGATAATTTGGCTGAACAGACCGGGCATACTGGTTTACGTCTTTCTCAATATCATTGCATGTTTTAGTCCATAGAGCATTTGTGGGACAAAGTAAAATCAAACCACAGAGACATTAAGTCACAGTGTTATAAATTTCAAATAAAATGTATTTAATAACATACCAACTGAGAGCTGCAAAAATTCAGGACAGCAGATTATAAAAATTGAGGACTTTTACATTTCTATACAAAACAACATAATTCCTATTATAATTAATAATGAAACAATTAGATTTAGTCATTTAGAATGCATATATGTTCCTAGCTATGAATTCCTTGTACATAACGTAATTTATTAAGATTAAACCATTGAGACCTTGAACAGGATGGGCGTACTGTTTTTCCAAGCACCAACTAAAATCAAATGTCAGAGCAGAAAATGTTACTTCCACTTTAAGTCCCACTGTGATAAATTTGATAAAACAATATAAATAATATCCAATTGAGAACTGGAAAAATGCAGTACAGCACATTGTAAAAATTGAGGACTCTTACATTTCTATACAAAACAACATAAATCCTATTATAATTCATCTCAAAGACTACTCTGATAGTGCACCAGAATTGGATTTAGACATTTAGAATAAAAACGTGTAGATATTACTAGCTATGAATTTATTGTATATCATTGTTTGCCATTGTTTTTTCTTAGTGTAATTTAATAAGATTATACCCACCTAAATAAACAAATATATATATATATATATATATATATATATATATATATATATATATATATATATATATATATATATATATATATATATATATATATATATATATATATATATATATATATATATATATATATATATATATATATATATATATATATATATATATATATATATATATATATATATATATATATATATATATATTCTCACGTATTGATTCACGGATGGAAAAATGTGATGACACTATACTCCGGGATATCATCCGTTCGCTCGTTGAACTCCGACTGGAATCCTGCATCCGACTGGAATCCTGCAAATCCTGCATCCGACTGGAATCCTGCAGACGTTTCGCCAAAATCTCACTTGGCATCTTCAATGCTCGCGCTCCGAAAACACTTCGAGTGTTCGAATATATATATATTACCAAAACCTTTGAGAGTCCGGGAAAAAACCAGCACGATGAAGATTAAAACAGACTATAAATGCCCAGTGATGTCTTATTATCATATCTGGTGGAGATATTTTTTTATTTAAGACTAGAGATAATACCTTAATTTCATTCATTTCTTTTATTTTATTATAACAAATGTCTTTACACTTTAGGAAGATTTTGGAAAATATTTATGAATTAGATACCCACTTTACTTAATAGTGACCCTAGTGAATGTATATTGACGCTATAACCATCCTTTCAGTGAAACGAACTGTTTGCTGTAGAGTCCTTAAAAATGTATACCATATTCAATATGTCAATATTTTTATTGCAAAACATTTAAAGAAAATGAAAAATTACTGGCAATACATCTTAATATATAAATAACACGTAAATAACTTAACAATTATTACATCACACGGACGTTTCGCCCAAAGTTCTCAACAATGAGTCGATTTGTTTTAGGTTTTCCTCTGCGTGCTGATAAATTATTCCTTCAGGTAGGGCTTTGGGCTCGTGCCGTAATAAATCCAAGGACTCTTCCAAAATTTTCTTTGATTCCTGGAATGGTTCAAGTGTAAAAGGTTTTTCGAAGTGCGACTTGCTTTTTCAACACTAGGCTCCCAAAAAATACGCAATTCGAACACTTTATATGGAAAAAAATTGTCTACACCACTGCGATTGGAATCATCAGAAATAGGAACACTTTAAAATTTGCTAAAAAACTATTCATTAACAACAAAATATGTTCTTTGAGTAGATTATAAAAATAATAATAGTAATGATAATAATAATAACAATAGTAGCAAATAAAGTGCCAAACCAGAATTTGCGAGTGAGGTTTGGAAAAATATTTTTAATATTTTTATATCTTTTTATTCGACAAGAAAAGAAATCATTTGTTGAAACTGAAAATTAAATCACTATAACTATAATTTATTAATACCTAATAGCATATTAAAAATTTCGACATTGATTGGAAGGACAAAAGCGAAATATAAACCTACCTGTACAAAATAAATGAATTGCTGACTACCCATATGTCTTCTTCCCCTTTCCGAGATTACCACGTGCAACTGAAACAGCACTAAGCCTCTAATTTTGGTTTCACCTGAATTTCAAAGAAAATTGCTTTAGGATCTTGGTTGTGATGGATGGTAGAGTTCGCCGAAAGATATACCGTTTCTACAACCTTTTATGGTTTTCACTTCGGAATGAATTTAAGACGCGCCTGTTGTAAAGCGGAAGGAAACATTCTTTGTAGCACGTGTACCACAAGCCAGGGCCGTATTTAAGATGTTAGCCGACAAGAACTGTGCCCTGCAGTAAGGAAATTTTCTTTGATTAAACTGTTATATTAATTCATATTAGTGTGCTTTTTATAAATCTTCCTAAAACAGTTCCTACTTGAGATAGCTCGAATTCAAGTTGAGTTTGTCCATTAGATAGACTGATGTTAAAAACACATTAGAAAGCTTAAACTGATTTCCAATTTAAGGATTTAATATAATGACTCTAAAATATTTTCCGAAGAAAGCAATACAAAATCTTATGTGGATTTATAATGGACGTTTTCCCAGTTTGCTATTGGTAGATTTGTGCGGGTTGGAGAAATGGGAGTATGCTGTCAGTTTTATGAAACAGTATTTTCGTAGCCGTCGGAAGCTTTGGAATTATTTCTATTCCATCTTGTGTTGGTAAATAGTAATTAAAAACGAACTCTTATTCAATTGTTTTTTAAAACTCAGTACGCCATTTCTATTGAGGTACCATATTCCAATGGGTCAAAGACTCGGACACATTTGCCGGTTGCTGCCAAAATTATAATTTTAAATGTGTTCATGTTTATGAAATCGATATCTGGGAATAGTGGAGCCATAAAATTAACGTCCGAAATGACTTAAACACCAAATGCCACAGTACGTGATATAGTTGTGAATGGTGTCTAAGAAAGAAACACGCAGAAAGATCGTGAGATCCCAAAAAGTCTACTTTATAGAGTTACGTAGTGTGTTGAATATTGACCGTTGCCAAGAAACTTTGCGCGTTCGTACGAAGAAAACCACCAATAAGAGACAAGTTTTGATGGAATCAAGAAGAATTTCGGAGTGGAGGACTAGATATTTGAGAGAAATCCAAGGAATTCGTGCTAAAACCGCCATCATCATATATTTAGATAAGAACTAGTTTTCATAGCCACAATACCGTCAACAGAGGATGGACTGATAATAACAGCAGACGTATTATCATACTACATACGGGCTCTGAAGCTGGTTGGGTAGATAACGCTTTGTTGCTTTTTGCAAAAGATGTCAAAGAAGCAAAGGTTGACTACCACGAAAACATGACACATCTTTGAAAAATAGTTTTCTGAAAAATTGCTTCCCAATATTCCACCAAATAGTGTTGTCGTGATGGACAGAATTCATAATGGACTATAGAAGTAATTCAAAAATTTTTGCTTGAAAATGATATGTATTTTGAAAATTAAAATTCAAAATTTTCACGGCATGGACTAATAATAACCTAGACCTGCGTAAAAATTTAGCAAAGTTAAATACCGGGTTATGTTGTTAAAACGGTATATCGTTCTTGGAACTATACCTGAACTCGTACCTGGTACCAACGCCACCATTAAATGCGACAGTTCCTGAGAAGTTCTGGCTTTTAGTGTCAGGTCGTCTTCAGGACACGCAGGAAGCCCTTCGTCCAACTCGTGTCCGATTATCTGGCTTAAGACAAGCTTCACGTCGGTTAAATAATAATGGTTACTATGGAGATGTGGCTCGTACATCGTTATAAAATGTTTACATGAAATCGAGTCGCCCTTTTTCATTTCCATCAGCTCTTGGCCAATGTGTTCCAAGATATCGTTTACGCAGTAAGCAGACAATAATTGGTTGCATTGATTGCAAAACCAATCGGGACCTTTGTCGTTGTTGTCATGGTCCAAGAAAGAGCGCGGAAGCAAAAAGCCGTTGCAGTCGCTAGAAGATAAGGATCGTCAGATGAGATTTAGGTGACGCAAGAGAATTTGTCACCTTTTCTGGCATTTTAAAGCACTAAAAAAAGTACCAAACTCAGTGGGGTCGGAGCACCTGGCACAGATGCACCAAAAAAATTTTGATTCGTGTAAATGATATCTCCTGTTGGCGGTACCCCAGAGCGGATCGGTGTAACAAATACTCAGATGTTCACCTTTCTTGATATGGGTACCTGCCTTGATCACTATCGATCCCTGATCGGTAAACGTCTTGGTGCAATTGGCAGAACAGCTGTGCTCGAACATGGAGGACGTTTCATAGATGGCCACGTACGGTGGACTGGTGAGGGGTACTTCATGTGCGTTGACCTACAGGATTTTAAGTTTCTCGTTGGGGAATTATAATGGGGAGCGGTTTGTTCACCATTATAATTCCGCAAATTCGCATGATGTCTTCCTCTGTAAATATTTTCTTGAGTTTAAAGAATCTCAGAATAAATTGCGCGACGGTAATCCTTTCATTTTGGTATTTAGGCGTGCTTTTCCTTTGTTCGCAGTGAGACTCTAACAAGTCCAACTTCTTCCAGATATTCGACAAGAATTGCTTTTGATACAAACATCGCAAAGCCGTAATGCATTGGTACGATGGGTGTACAGTACCGAAAGTGCTTATCGTCACCTAAAAGGGGAAGCGAAAATCAATTAGGTTGGTGGATAAAAGATTCGAAGAAAGAAAACACCTTCGATCCTCTGGAGACTGTGTATTGGCATTCGGGTATGTGAGAGGGAGATTGTTCGCAGATTTTGGAACACACAGGCCATCCGCATTTCGAGCAGCACTCGTAGTTTTCTGGGTCGATTGCCTTTCCGCATCCCAAACAGATGGGAACAGTGACCTGAGCGGGGCCCCAGATCAAAGGCGGTTCTTGTAAAATGATATCGCCGGATTTGATATCTTTCGTTGCTACAAGATGACGCCCGATATTGTCGTCTTTGCATAACTAAAAGTATAGCAAAACTATATCTATTAATTACCATTGAAATGTAATTAATATTACGCATCAACCTCCTCCAAAAATTCTAAAAATTTTTTTCGCCGTTCCCAAATTTCTGTTACTTTTGAAAATATAAAAATAAGCAAAATTTAGTCAATGAAATATTTGGAAATATTAACGGTATTATTATTTTTCTACTCCCTTCTGTAAAATTCTCAATTATACACCGATCTAGCGTGCAAGGTGCGTCACTTTACCACGGGTTTGGGAGAAATCGGATGTTTTGAGATGGCCGTATTTGTCCAAATGTTCACTTGTCCGTATAAGGACGTTCGTAGCTCGTTCAGGACAGCGCGGGAGGGAGGCCGGCAAAGCGTTTACGTGGAGAAGGAATTTTCCTCGATAGAGAATAATTATTTGTTTACGTTACAATGTTTTTAAAATACATCTATGTCATAATATTTACAGTGACTCGGCTCAAAAGATTCAGTTGCATTTTAATTAATCAAAGAGCCAAACCCATCATAAATGTGTTTGTTTAAAAGTTCTCAATTATTTTAAATAAATCATTGCGGTCGTAGTAAAATTGTATTTAGGTACCTTTTACTCGGAAAATTGCCTACGCCGATTATCACGAATCATGAAAGGTTAATAAAAACATGTGCCCAATTGTTCTCACAGCTAAAATTACTGACGATTTTTAAATTTGTTCAATAAGCAATATGATTGAGGATATTTTGGATTATGCAAAAAATTAAACAGCTACCTAGCATACCCAAGAATGAAAAAGTAAAAGTTACCTAAGTAGTTTTCAGGATAGAAAGTATGAAAAAATTGAAACTGTATTAATTGTATTATCTGTCTTCGTCGAAATCTCTCTCTTTATTGGGATAAATGTTTCTGTCGCTTTCTGGTGTTCGTCGCCCGTGTCTCGGATTATTTGGACAAATGCACATTATCGCATTTGTGGCTTTCCCGATGTTTTGACGTTTGTCAATTCTGACGGTCATGTCAGTGAATGTGTTCGCGTTGTTTTGCGAAAATGTATCCAAAAACTAACTGTCGTAGAAAAATTATGGTATGCAACATGTTCGGTAAACTTTTTAAGTCCATCGTTTATTAAACCCTACGCTGCGCTTGTAGTTGCATACTATACTATTAACTAATTTCACATTGTCGTAGCAAAGTTTATCCTATTTACAAGATTGTAGAATAAAATTTAAATCGATTTTTTCCTCTCGGTAGAGTTTGAAATTTCGTAGTTCGTAATTTAGATGTTTCATCAAATTAACTGCGGTAAATGCCAATTTGATTTAACAAGACATTTACAAAGTATATTTGTAATTGTCTCTGACTGAATTAATTTAGTTACCGTGGGTAATTCTTTTCTAAAACAAATAGTAATTTTGGATTAAAGAAAATCTATTCCTTATACTTTTATATTATTTTTGTGCATGCAGCGCCAAGAAAAAGAGAATAATTGCAAGATTGTTGCTGAGTTGTATGTTTCCTATGAAATTATAAAAATTTTAATAATTCATGTGAACTTCTGCAATTGTAAAGTATAATATTATAATTATCTAAAGTATTTTAAAGAGTCTAGAACTGAATCCTCAAATAATATGTATTTTATTAAGCACATACAGGGCGATTCATTAACATACGGCCACAATTTAGGGGCTGGTTCTGAAAATGTTTTGTCACTCAGAACTCTGTCTCTCGACATCAAAAATTTGGTACACAATCGTAATACAATGCGTTTCAACGTCTACATTTTCTAAAGTTTTACAAAATTTAGTCGCCCCAAACTTTTTCGTGGAACGCCTGATGCTTTTAGTTGTTAAAACAAGCGTTCCTTCATTTAGAAACTTTCATTTTCTCTTTTTTTTTTCACAAAATTGCTCGTTTTCAAAATAAACCGGAAAATCCATCTGAATGTCTAGCTGTGTGTAGCTAATTATTTTATAAATTGTATGAGATAAATAAATTGAAAAAAAAAAACAAATAATATATAGTACCTACCATTGTTTTAGTCGATGCAATACCGTTCAACTTTCAATAAAGTGAAATAAAATTAGTTATAAATAACGGAAAAAAATATTGTACAAAATATTAACTAGATAAATACAATCTGACTTTGATTTTTAATATTATATATGAAAACGCATACTAATACACATTTATAAATTATTATATACATTTTTTTTTTTTAATTTGATAGTATTTTAATAATTCGATATAATGAGCCACTTCTAAATTTTAGTTTTATTGCAACAGATTTGACAACACTTATAGTTAAGTTGATAAACGTTTTGAGTTAGAATTATTATCATTTTTGGTAAGTTTCAATTTTATATCCTAAAGCGTTTATCGCCTTTTAAATTCCTGCTTTTGTTGTGAGTATTTTTTACAGAGGTCTTTCTTATTATTATTATATTCAACTAATAGTCCCTTGAAATTTTTATATTAATTGTAATAACTGATATTTTGCTTTTATAAACGTTGGGTTAATTGATTCAAAGTTCAGAGAACATGGAAAAGAAATCCTTCGTAGTGATGACTGTTCCAAGTTAAATTATTCTTCTTTGACATCCTTTAGTTTTTTTACTTTGCATCATGTGTGCCTACCTTATAGGGTTTGCAAACTTTTTTGTGTCGCTTCCAATCACTTTTCTGATGTTCCCTTGAACAATAGTGTACCGTGTGACAACCTCCGCATTTCTGAGTGGCTGGGCTCGAACAAACTTCACATTTTGGATCTTCAGACATCATTTAGAAGCACGCGAATCGGTTTTAAAGTTTAAAAAACATAGCACGATCGGTTTTAGACTCCACTGTACACAAGCAAACACACTTTTGGTCCCCACTAGGTTTTAAATAACCGAATCTCGCAACATATAAGTATATGCCTACTTCCCGACTTTAAATTAGCGAGTCTAAAAATAGGTGAAACTGTGTAATGGAGATGAGCACCGGCCTTCTTCAATAATAAAATTCATCATGTATTATTTCTTTTTATATTATGTATTACATCAATTCATGTTTTTTTTCAAATGAATTGCAACCATAAAAGAACACAAAAAATTCTGAGCAATAAATTCAAAGTTTTCTTAATTTTTCTATTCTTGCGTTTAGTTTTTTTTGTTTAAAACTTTCGTATAATATATATAATTGCATCTTTATTCTAAGTATCCAAATCAAATTTTGATTCACTGAGTCTTCATTACAGTAGACTTTATGTTGTTTCGTATAGGAATGTTTTTAACGTATTCATTGCTGACAACTGTATCGTGTTGTCCGTTAAATGTCACAAAAAAATGTTTTCGAAAATATAATTTAAAAAGCATTTAACTACGCTGAATGACATTTACACTCACATTTTTGGAGGTGTTGATGTTGCCATGGCAACTTTTAACCGCACATTTTTAAAATTGAATACGCCGAGACGTATTTTAATGATAAAGAAGGATACGAACTTAACCTTGTGTTTCCTAACTACGAAAACAAACATCAACCGAATTATGGGCTTACCTCGAAATTATCGAACAACTGCCGCATATTCACACTAATTGACCGGCCAAACAGAAACTTTTATGAAAATTAAAACGTCCAGTGAAACTCCTACACCTACAGCTGTCGTGTCGCTATAATCCACGTGTTTATCCTTGACTTTGAGTACACCAAGTTAAATGTATAAACATTTAATTATGAATCATTTTCAGTACTTATACCTACCCACAAACTTTGCCGACGTCTCAGATTACACCGCACAGTGCGACAAATATCGACGTACTTTGTCGCTAATTATTATTGTATTTCGACGGGCAATGTTATATTAAACATGGATAAATATGTGATAAATTCTTGGTTGGGGTATCGAATTTAAGAGTCAATATAGATTGTTCATTGACCATCGATTGGTAGTTCCTATCTGGTTTTTAAGGAATTGTTGATAAACGAAATTATTTATCGACATTTAAATATGCGTACAAGCTAGTTGAATTTTTTAAAAATAAGTTTTCAAACGCAACCCGTTATTGATTGTTAATATCAAATTTAATTCTAGAAGTATAATAACCACCATTCAAAAATTCTTTTTGTTTACAGAATGCAATGCTAAAAAAATTCTCGAACAAGGAATACAACAAATGGAGGGTCTTGAAATTAAAATACAAATTGTGGAATCGAACATCCCTTAATGATTTAATTATATAGATCATACAATAATGTACTACTAAATACGTTGATAATGGAAAATGTCCAAATAGCATTTCCTACAGTAATCTCTCACGCGAAGTACAATAATACAATCTACTTTCAACATCCATCTTGACATTTAAGATCCACAACATTTACAAAGTATCTGAAAGCAATTTGACAAGATGTTCTGTCAAATTATTACACTACTAATACCATAGGATATAACATCTGTAAAATTCAAGCCATCAAAAGCAGAATACACATTTCAAAACTCAGTGTGAATTTTAAAATGAAATCAAAATAAATTCTGATACTAGCTAGTCAGGTATAGAAGATAGACACTGAATAATGTACCGTATAATGGAAAAACGATGCATAGTCGTCTTAAAAAAGGCGAATTGTCAAACAAATTATTTTGAGGCGCAGAAGATTGAATTTCTGAAACCGAGGGCCAAAACTATTCTTCCCAAGGAAATACAAAATTATATTAAATTACATACTAAAAAACCAAAAAAATAACCTAGACATCAACCATAAATAAGAATACAAGCATAGGTAAAAAATTTAGTAGTCTACTTCTCAGAGGAAGAAGGACCCGACACGATTTTAACATTTTTAGACTTTCTTGGCTGAGCCTGTCCTGGCGGGCTGTAGGGAGTCCTTGAAGAACTGAAAGAAAAAAGTTTTATTTAAACTGAACTAATTTGGATGGATATAATAATTATTATACAAGTTTCAATAATTTTTCATCAAGTGAGCCTAATCTGAAGATTAAAAATTTGCAAAGCAAAAAAATGCAGCAACTGCATCCAAAAATAACAAATATAAATATAATATAATATTCTAATAAAAATGAATCTGAACTTTAGCAATTTTAAAAATAGAATAGCATGTCTGTCAAAACCTGTTTGGTGGTATTCTTACACTAGACCTATTTATTAACAAAATTTTTAGCAAAATCGCCCTACAAATTAATAATTATTTTTAACAATCATTTTGAGATACATGATAAATGGGTGAAAACATCGAAAAATTAAATTAAATTAAAACATTACAAACCACGCCAAATATTAAAACACCAATGCCATTTACATTTAAGGCTATAAAATATAAAACATGCATAGCAGAATTATCTTGTTGCCAGGACAAAGTAATTTTTATTACCCACAGGGAAAGTAATGCGCCATATATACATGTTTCATAATTAGGTAATCGGCAGTTCATTTCAAATTTACTTACAGTTTAGAAAATGGAGTTAGTCTTAGTAACGTCGACTTAACCTGTAAACAACCACCTCCCAGTGAAATTTTAAAAACTGAAATCAGTACATTTAATGAAAATTCTCAAAAAAGATGAAGCATTGGCTAAACTATTTCAACATCACTTTTAAATAAAATAGAAGCTAGTATTGGTTAGTGATACATTATCATTGCATAGCAATTGCTATATTAAGAGGTTAAAGATTATTGAATAAAATGCAAATCCTACCTTGCTGCACTTGCTGAGGAAGGTAGGGCTAATTTCGGCGACCTTATACTTCTACGAGCGGAAACTAGCGGTGTAGACCTTTCCTTGTTCCGACGGCTACTGCTACTATACATGCCCAATAACATTTATACATATATACAACATGAAGCAATTTAGAACAAAGTAAAGAGACGTGATTAAATTTTAAAAAAGTCAACCAAAACAGCTCAATAGTGTCGCAACTGTTGCAAAAAGCTGTGGTACAAGACACCAACCAACACTAAGGTCCATTATCATAACAAATTCCTATTTTTACACATTCTTTTTCTTTCAATAGTTGCTGATTTATGTAAAAGTACTAAAACGTACAAAATAGTATTTCCTACCTTGATCCAGCAGTAATCGCAGGGATTGCAGAATAACCGCTATAAGTATGACGATTACGACCAGTTCCAGAACTAATCCTGGGAATTTCTGATATGCATCTTGTTTTTGTAGTCCATTCCTTATTAAACTCTTCAGCCTCATCTTCATCTAAATTAATAAAATCTTCACGCTCTTCTCTATCTCCAGTGTGCATATTTTGCTCCTTTTCTATAATGTGAGCTCTTTCCCCAATATGATGACCTATTGCCATTTTTTTAGTACCTGTTACTGTATCTGTAACAGTTCTCTGTGTTTCCTTAATACCACCTGGAGCTACTTTAGTGCTTGAAGTTTCCTTATAAACTTGTGGTCTCCCATCAGGCCCTGGTGTCATGCTAATAACAGTGCTCGAACTACTATAGTTTGTACAGTTTCCCATCGGTCCCATACTGTCTAATGAACTATTCATCAGTCTGTTCATATTAGGCATAAAAGGCATTCCAAATGGAGACATCATAGAATGCATACGAGCTCTAGTGTTTTCAAACTCTCTAAATATGTTACCCACTTCAAAAGAATCTTGAAACAAAGAATTCATCATGTCCATATTTCTTCTCATCTGACGCATAGCCATGGAGGACCTAAAATTTGTTAATTTTTGAAAAAATCTGACCAGCATGGCGGAGTGTTTACCAACGGTCCATATTAAATATACAGCAAAAGGGAGAAACTTACCCGAAAAATGGGTCGCTATCCATATCGCCCATCAAAGAGCCGAAAATCGACATGCTCATCTCGTTTGCTAGTCCGATTTGACTTAAGATACACTGGATGTACGCAAAACACGATAAGATACACCACAAAACCACAAATAGCAATTGACCAAATTTGACGTGGTTGACTATCCGCTGCAAATGGCACAAATGTTGACTGACGAGAATTAATTTCCGGTCATCTGTCAAATATCGGAAATTTTCATCTAAGTAGAGTTATCTTTTTTTAGATTTTTGAAATAATTTAAATTCCTAGTTGTTGTTGATTGTTCTAAAATGTTAAGTTACGAAATAAAAACATTTTAGAACTTTGTTTTTTTTTTAATTCTGACATCTGCAATTCACAGTTTAGTGCATCACGTCCCACAATTGATTAAAAGTTGATGTTCTGTATATAGAGTTCTACAGAGAGAGAGAGAGAGAGAGAGAATATAATAAATTATATTGTAATAAAATTTATAAATATTCTAACAGATAGATTCAAATCATTCAAGCAGTAAAGTATTATCATGGATAAAGACCCAGTTGTCATAGTTAACATACAAAAAAGTAAACCAAAGAAAATAGTTGCATTAGCGATTTATTTCCTTAAGTTTAGGGCAAACGGTGACTTCATCTATCACCTTGGTACAAGTTTCATGTACTTGTCATAGACTAGAAGGGTAAAATATATATATATATATATATATATATATATATATATATATATATATATATATATATATATATATATATATATATATATATATATATATGATGACACTATATTCCGGGATATCATCCGTTCGCTAGTTGAACTCCGACTGGAATCCTGCAAATCCTGCATCCGACTGGAATCCTGCAGACGTTTCGCCAAAATCTCACTTGGCATCTTCAATGCTCGCGCTCCGAAAACACTTCGAACACAACGAGCGAACGGATGATATCCCGGAATATATCACATTTTTCCATCCGTGAATCAATACGTGAGAATATATATATATATATCGGTCAACCAAAATTATTTAGTAAGTCTTTTGATGCTGCTTTTGGTTCGTAATGCAATGGATAGTTGGCAAGAGATTACACGTGAATTACAGAACAATTTTCATCGGCTTTTAGGATCGGAGAAAACTCGCGAACACCATAGAATACTAATGCCAGTTTGCGAATCCAGCTCTAGTGGTAAGTATGCATCCGCCTTAGTTTGCAGTTTTGCGATATTTACATCACGGTGCTTTGATATTTGCCAGGTCTGTGGTCATCTTCATATGATTCCCATGTTTGACATGTGACTGACATTTGACTGTCATTTGACAGTTGTCATAACCGAAAGTAAAAATAAGCAGAAATACTTCATTTATATTTAATACGAGAGTGATAATTTTATTTATGTATGATTTTTCATTAGCGAGGCAGGAATTGAAAATTATTTTATAATAAATTCTGTTATTTTCAGACAAGTGGTAATTTTGTTGACGTGTTCAGGCGCATCTTTAAACGTCAAAACTTTTTTTTGAGCCACGTTGGAAGTTTATGTTTTGGAATTCCCTTCTTCCCTTTGCTAAGGTAATTTGCTACATAAAATAAAATAAATGACCTTACCACCTTAATGCTAAATTGCATTTGATGTGTTTAGCAAATGGTTTTATTATATCAAACATTTCTGTAATATTTGTTTACTGATCCATTCCACTAGGACGTAACATTATGAAGGTGAAAGATATAGAACGTACTGCTAATGTTGCCTGGTCTCCTAAACACCATCAGCCCATTTACCTGGCAGCTGGTACAGCAGCACAGCAGTTAGACGCTTCTTTCAGCACCAATGCCGCCCTAGAAATTTACTCTCTAAATTTAACAGAACCAGGTCCCGATACTCAGCTGATTTCATCTGTTCCCAGCGAACATAGATTTCATAAAATAATTTGGGGACCCAGTGGCACTGAATCTAATGGCATTATAATAGGGGGGTGTGAAGATGGGTTAATGCAAATTTACAATGCCTCTAAGATGCTCAAAAGTGAAAATTCTTTAATGGTCAAGCAGCAAAAGCATACCGGACCTGTACATGCTTTAGATTTTAACAATTTTCAACAAAACCTGTTTGCCTCAGGTGCCGGGGATTCTGAAATTTTTATATGGGATATCAACAATACAACGACTCCCATGACACCAGGTGATATATGATAAATGTTTAGGTGAGATATTTTAAGATATGTATTTTACATTGTAGGGGCAAAATCTCAACCATTCGAAGATGTTCTTTCAGTTGCTTGGAACAAGCAAGTTCAGCACATATTGGCATCCTCATTTGCATCAAAATGTGTAATATGGGACTTACGAAAAAATGAACAAATTATCAAATTAACTGATACAGTATCTAGAATTAGGTGGAAAATGGTCACTTGGCACCCTGAAGTTGCCACCCAGTTGTGTCTTGCATCAGGTAAACAAAATTATTTGACAAAAATATTTTCTTGATGGTTTATGATTTTTAGAGGAAGATCATTCACCAGTTATCCAAGTTTGGGATTTAAGGTTTGCTACTTCTCCCCTGAAAACACTAGAGAATCACCAAAGGGGTGTGCTTGCTGTGTCATGGTGCACAGATGATGCTGATCTTCTTGTTAGTTGTGGAAAAGATAACCGTATCATTTGTTGGAATCCAAATTCAAATCATCAGAATGGCGAGGTATCTACTGTGTCAATTAATATTCAAATCTCACAATATTTGATTTCATTTTAGTCGTAATGGGAACTTTAGATGTGAGTATTAAATATTGTTCACTTTTTAGATACTATCAGAAATCGCTAGGACGAACCAATGGAGCTTTGATGTGGTATGGTGTCCCAGAAATCCAGCTTTAATAGCTTGCCCCAATTTTGATGGACATGTTTCAGTGTATTCAATCATGGGAGGTGTGAATTACATTTTTTTTTTAATATTTAGGTATATATGAAATGCAAACCTTTTTTAGGAAAAACGCAGCAAGTTCAAACCACTAATAAAATAGCAGATAGTTTTCCAGGCATGGATGGTTATGTGCAAGCCCCAGTACAAACTACGCCTGCTGTAATCAGTGTTGACTTAAGTAAACCTCCGAAGTGGTTGAAAAGGCCAGTAGGTGCTAGCTTTGGGGTAAGAAAGTTAAATTAGAAGGTGTCTGCATAATTAAAAAAAAATTATTTTAGTTTGGAGGCAAATTAATAACATTTGAGAATGATAAAGAGAAAATTACCCTTGCTCAACAAACTACCCAGCCTGGCCAAGGTTCACCTCATATAAGTAGGATAGTACAGATAAGCCAAGTTATTACGGAACCAGAATTCATTCAAAAATCATCTGAACTTGAACAAGCTTTAGAAAGTGGCAATTTTATAGGTATGTGCAAATCAATAGCAATGAAATTGTTTCATTATGTGTTTTTAGAATATTGCCTAAACAAGTCAGAATCCTCAAATGATCAACATAGGAAGTACATTTGGCATTTCCTAAAAGCTAATTTTGATTCAAATCCAAGGGCAGAGTTTTTAAATTTGCTGGGTTACAGGATCGATGACGTGAATGCAAAGTTAAATGAACATATAGGCGAATCTTTACTGCAGAAAGGCGACATTATTGACCATCTTGCAAATGGCAGAGTAAATAAGCATATTTACTTTTTATAGTCTTTGTCTTTACCTATAATCCTTTTTAGATAGATGATTTTGACCTACTACAAGACAGTAATCAAAAAAACAATATTCCCTTCAAAATCAAAACAACTGATGGTAAACTTGTAAAAGTTTTAGGTTTTTGAATTGTAGAACTTTTTGTATGATTTTTAGATACCGATGGGCTCATCACTCAAGCACTTCTCCTCAACAATGTCGAAGCAGCTGTGGAATTGTGCTTAAAGGCAAAGAGATATGCAGATGCTTTGATTATTGCTACAACAGGTGCGAAGTATAACTGGGCACTTAAATAATTGGCTTTGATTGATTTTTTTTTATAGGGGGACCTGATTTACTAGCCAGAACTCAACACCAGTACCTAGAAAATTCTGAAGGTTATATATCCAATTTGATATCAGCTATTGTTTCTGAGGACTGGGGTTCTATTGTCAATAACTGTGATATAAGCAGTTGGAAGGAAGCTTTAGCGGCCATTTTAACTCACGCATCTGACGATCATTTACCAATACTTTGTGGTAACAAAATTAAATTATAACTGACCTCCGTTCTGATAATACAATTTTCAGAGCAACTTGGCATGCGTTTGGAAAATGAGATAGATATAAATCCTAAATTAGGTCAAGACGCGCAATTGTGTTACATTTGCTCTGGAAATTTTGATCGTCTGGTTTCCAGTTGGAGTGACGGAGATTTTAGTTCGACAGAAACTCTGCAAGAGCTCGTTGAACTGGTTTCTTTTCTACAAAAATCTATCGAACGGCAAGGGAAAAGAGTACAGGTAAGTTCATAAGCAACTAAAATTTGTGAGTAAAATTGTTTGCGCTTTCATTTTATTTCAGATTTCAGATGGTTTGGCAGATGTGCTATCCAGATACTCTGCCTTATTAGCTTCTCAAGGCGACCTATCAACTGCTCTTTCTTATTTGGGTTCTTCACAAAATGAAAAGATGGCATCGTTGCGGGACAGATTGCTCACCGCTTTGGGTCAAAAACCGTTGAATATCCAAGAGTTGAGGCAGCAACAGGGTAATAGACGTAGCAGCACAAGGACATCTTTCAGTAACTATGGAGGACCGTCCCAAAACACAGTAAGCAGATATTTTAAAAAAGAGAAACTTATCTTAATCTTAATTTAGCCACAGATTCAGCAATTTGTCCCACCACAACCTGTGCCACCTACCAACAATGCGTTTCCTTATGCTTTCAATACGGGGTTACCTAATCCGACAGTGAGCAGTCAACCATGGCAGACACAACCAACTCCCGTGTCTAATTATAGTTCTCAGCCACCTCCAAAAACATTTTCTCCGCCGTTGAGTCAACCTCCCAGACCTACTAGCGTGGGATCTTCCCATGGTAACGCTCTTTATAGTATACATAAAGACAGTCCATTGAAGCATTTGTTATCAGGAGGAAGTGCCGGTTTACCGACTCGGAAATATGTTCTTGATCCGTCTGTAACGTCAAATCAGTATTACAATCGGAATCAGTTTTCTTCTCAGCCTGTGCCGACGTTTGACGGTAGTTACGGGGCCTACCCAACCAACCCACACAATTCGAACTATGGCGGTCAGCCGATCAGCACACAATTATACCAGCCTTCGACAAGTAAGAATTTATTTATTTACAAAATATATATCATAAATATCCCTGCCAACCACTAGCTAGAATTAATAATAATAATAATAAACATTTATTTGAGCAATTAGATTAAACATTCGGAAAAAAAAATCTGGTGGGCCTCAAGGTTCTGACCTTGGACCACTTTTGTTCAAAATATTTTTATCCGATCTCATACCTTTAATCATCTGCAACAAGCTTGCCTACGTGGATGACCTAAGACTATATCGCTGGTGTACTAAAAATATATTGGATCGCAACATCAGCAAGTGCAATGTGGTTTCTTACCTGCATGGTTTCCAGTACAAAGCAAATTGTAGGATTTGTATATAAGAAATTGCACCCATTTTTGTAGCTCGTTTACTGTTAAATTGTTATATAACTGTTACGTTAGGTCCAAGCTTGACTATGGCTCTTTGGTATGGTCACCACTATATAACTGCCACTCTTAGTCCATTAAGAGTGTGCAGAGAAGGTTACTTGAGTATATAATGTTGATCATGATTTTCTGCTGGGAAGGTTCGCTGTACTGCCTCTGAGCTTGCGCAGAGACTTGCAATTTGTTATTAAATTTTACACCCATTTAATTTTATTCACAATTAATTTATCACTTCGAGAATGTCATACTCAACAAGCCTCCTAATTTTTGTATATTCCCTATTTTGCAAATTTATTGGAAGGGCGTTATATATTCTAGGGGTTGCAAACAGCTCTTTGCAAAGCTCCTCTGCACTGAAGTAAATTTTAGCATCGGTACTGACATGGTACAAGTCTGGTTTTTACTGAATGGCTGATTGATGCGTTGGAATGCCTTCATTTAAATATTTTCATTCACTCAAATGATTCAGAATAAATATAGCATTGGCACTTTTTTTTCTCAGAATTAATTTAGTTAGGCTAAAGTTTGGTTTTCTGTTTACACATTTATATTATCACATGGTATATTTAGATGTCTACAGTGTCAGCTGCCTAATTTTTTTAATATAGGTTCTGCTGCTGTGCCTAATCCTCCTTTAAATCCAGTACCTCTCGCCACGGCTCCTCAGTATGGGACCCAACCTCCAATTGAGGCAGCTCTATCCGCGGGAAATAGTTATCATGGACAATCGGCTCCTGGTTGGAATGATCCTCCAGTATTGAATCGACTTTCCAGGCAACAGGTAATACTTAAATATTTCAATGCTTATTTTTTATTAGCACCACCAAAATGTTTCTAATTTGTATATTTAAATGGCAAATACCGACTATTATATAAAGTAGTTCATTTGTACTGACCATGTAGCTAACTGAAGATATAGAGGCCCTGCTTATATTGATAATACAGAAACTTATGAAGCGACTATGAAAAAAGGTTCAAGAAGGTTCAGTCAACATGCGCATGCGCGAGATTTAGAATCTCGTTTTTAATTAATGAGCTTGCGGCATTCAACAACTAACATGGCCGCTAACAAATCGTCAATAAGTTGGGAATATATACCTAGAATTCGTTAAATGATGTAGGAAAACGAATTAAGTGTGTGGAAATCGCTGTTTAGAAAGAAAATGACTCAACATGCAGGTTAGTGGGTGAAATATTGGAGCATGCGCGATTATACGAAAATATCAATATCGACTGAGGCGCATTACTTTTTACTGTAGTAGGGTCACTATATTATCTAATAGCTATATGGTATTAAACAACAATGTTCCACTTGCAATTGGTTTGCTATAATTTAAATAGCACACTTGCTCTCTCTCTCTCTCTCTCTCTTAAGCTTTGTTATATTTATTATATTTCCATATTATTCTCTTACAAAAGATTTCGTCTTATCAGAAAGGGATGTCACCTATGCATGCTGGGACAAGATTATGGAGAAAGGTATTTCCGAGTGACAAATGTAGTTATATAGATTGTTTATATGTGTAGCTCATTGGTAAATGCAGTTTGTCGGAGTTTTGCTGTTTTGTAGATTAGATATGCCCGTTTCTATCAATTCTATATTTTGATGGTAACAATTATTAAACCATTATTAAACTTTTCAGTCAAAACCGGATTCAACTCCCTCTGAACCTATCACACATCCAATTTTTGGAACAGCCCCGCCCCAACCCACACCCGCACCCAACGGATACACTTACGGTGAAGTCACATCTCTACCACAACCCTACAACCCGTCTGCCCCTGTAGCTCGACCCCATCAGCAACCCCAAATGTTGAATCTTCCAACCATGTCTGCACCCCCACCAGCTGGGTTCCCAAATCCAAATAGTTTCAACCAAAATGCCATTAGCGGACTGCCATCTGCACCTCGAGTACAAGACATCAATGTTAAACCAGAGGTTCCTGAAGTTGTTCAAAAACCACCCATTCCAGATGAGCATATTCACTTGCAGAAGGTTCTGGATGAATTAAAACATAGATGCGGTTCAGCAGCAAATAATCCAGTGAGTGATGTATTCTTTGGGTTAATAAAATATTGACTGGTAGAAAGCTGATCTTGGTCAGTAAAACTATATACAGAATGATTCATGTTGAGTGTCCTTTTAAAAGATCTAGAGACCTATAAATAGAGCTTTTCAAATTTAAGCATAGGATCTTAAATGTAAGTAATTGTAGCTTTGTCAGATCTGCCAGAAACCAGTAGCAACATTGGAATTTTGATATTAATTAATTAATAAAAGTTAGTATTTATAAAACTTCTGGATTCATCCTGCTTCGGTTTGTGTTGAGTCGAACTAGCTAATGTTTTGCCAATCATCCTGTTGGCTTCTTCGGAGCTTGAAAAGTTTCAGTCAAGCTCTGAAAATGCCAACAGGATAATTGGAGAAACGTTGGCTAGTTCGACTCAACAAAAACCGACGCAGCAGGAATCCAGAAGTTTTGTAAAAAGTATTACAGTAGCCTGTGAAAGTTTCTTTGAAAAATTAACAAAAGTTGCTTACAATTTTGTGTATGTTTCTGTATTACAAAATATAGCATGTCCAATTTGAATTTGAAATTTTTAACATAGATTTCAGATACATTGGGCAATGATAAGTTCAAATCAAATTGCTTAAATATTTTTTACACTCCTAGGTTATCACATCATATTTGAATTAGTTTTTCACTTCACTCAACCTCAATCATACTGTATATTAACTGAATATAATGTTCATTGCTAGAAATATTAAATTTTAATCTTGACCACCATTTGCAGCAAACTAGAAGAAAACTTGATGATGTTGGTAAAAGGTTAGACACCTTATATGATTGCCTGAGGTATAATCAGGTATAGTTTATGAAGGTATTAAGCTATAAACTTGTAACTTTTACTGTTTTCTTCTCCAGCTCTCGTCCAATGCTTTGGGAGCCCTTCATCAAATTGTAAAATTGATAGAGAGTGGTGATTATGCTAACGGGCTACACTTGCATACCCAACTAGTGCAAGGCCCAGACTTTGCGCAAATAGCGGGATTTATGCCAGGATTGAAAGTACTGTTACAGTGTGCATTGCAGTTACATGTATACTTAAATTAGGGGCCAAAGTTTTTGTAAAAAGTTTTTATTTTAATGCTTTATTATTAAAATTCTTTCCTGAAACTATTGGAAGGGAGTGTAAAAGTTAAAAAAAAAATTGCAGAAATTAATTACTAAGCAACTTTGTAGTGATAAGAGTTATTGTATCTAGACTTGATTAAATTATATATACATTTTTACTCTCCTGGTTTTATTGAATACTATTAATTTAGAGTCTTCAGATCTTCAAAGTAATAACTGCTAGTTCGGATTTGCAAATCTCGAATTTCCATAATATCCGTCTTTAACCTAAGCTTGAGGATTTCCCTCCAGATTGCCTCCCTGTGGACGGGATCGGTTATACCCAGCCTGAGCAAGGAATTATCGTTCATTCTTATAAGTGCACGTCCTGTAATTTCATGATGTATGAAGTTTTGCATGTAAAGGGAACAATGATCACTGCAGTGCCTGCGTAGCCATTTCTGTACATCGATTACATTCCAAGAATAGACGGACTTTGGTTTATTCGTTTTCACCTACAAAGAAAAAATAATCCCTTAAATTTATTGCATTTAAATTTCGATAAAATGTGTTTTTAAAATACCTTGGGTTTATTATTGACACTGTTGATTGTTTCCTCGACCATTTGCCTTAATAAAACTTTTGCACCTCTTTTAAATCGTTAAAATTTCTTGTAAGTGGAAAAAATAAAAACATATCACTGGCAGCACAAAACCCATGGATTAACTAACCAAAACATTTCCTAATCTATGATAAGTTCAAATCAAATGGATTACAGACCACCGAAAGACACGGGGGAAGAATATAATACAGAATTTTTATTTGCATATTTAAAGCATGAAGTGTGGGCGAGTGTAGTAATGGGTTTGACCTTGGATGTTTTTATTAATGAAACAAAATAATAGGCTTCCGCGTTATCATTTTACCAAAGCATTTTTTTCAGATATCTAGGAAATTTTAAGGGTACTACAATATTTCTATCTCTATCATATATGAGTGGTATCTATATACAAGTATGGTGATGTAGGGAAAATACAACTAAACCTTTCGTATAAAATAATCGATAAACCTATTTCAAAATATCTTCCAAAATAGTTTCAACGACGCAATGAGATTCCATGTAAACAAACTCCACTGAATAAAAATAATTGGATTCTAGGTATCAAAAATACCTACGTGTTTTCCACGAAAATTGATCGATAGTGTTTCCTGAAAATAATCGAAACCGTAGTTATACATTTTCTAACCTTCCCGGAATATATAGGTTTCCATTGGCGCCCATCGACATGTTAATTTTTTCAGTCAACGGAATTCATGTCGTAGGTATGATAGATTATTGATAAAGTAAAATCAAAAATTTATAACCGGGTGACTTTAATGTTGAAAAAAACACATAGTATTTAAAAATTTAATTTCCGACCAATGCTTTCAAAATTTTGAGTGACGCAAGTATGCATGTATTTATTTGTATTCTCCCTTTTGGTTTTGAGTTATTTGAAAAAAAAAATGCATTGCAAATAAAGCTGGTCTACTTTATTTTAGGTAAGAAATGCAAAATAATTAATCAATCTTTACTTCTTTTCTCACATGTTGATTTTTTGTCATTCCACGCATCTAGTTTACTTAACAAAGATTGATAGATAAAAAAAATCATCTTATTGTTATTTTTCAAGGATTATACCATAAAGCAAAACGCCTTGTATATTAGTAATATTTATAATTTGTGGTGAGTATATGTCAGTTGACACAAAAACATTTGTATATAAAAAAAAGCAAAGTAAAACTGATAAAGGTCATTTACAATTACTTCAGAAAAATTGCCAATCTTGTTCTTTGATCGAGCCCACCATGCGCCACCTCTGACGACGCGACGGGTCATCGAGGACGTAGGTTGTTATCGATTCCTTTCGAAATCATAAAAGGCGTCGCGGCGCCCATGCTGCAAGATAGTACGTTCGGCGGCGCCTTCTCCAGCGGTGAAGAACCTACGTCATCGACCTCCAGAAACCCATTTTTCTGATGAATACTGCTCGTCTCTGTTGAATTTTCATTCGAAACGTAACAGGTAATATCAATTTTGATGTAAATTAGAGAATCAACTCCACAACATTTTGAATTATTTAGTTTTCGCTGAAAGGGAGCTTTTTGTAAGATTTATCTCATTGGAAAAATTTTAAGTTTGTTTGGTTACTTTTGAATACATCGAATATCAAAACGATTAAGTTGGTAGAATAATAATTAGTTTAGAAATGTAGTCTAAAAGGCAGGACCGCATTAAGAATAAAATTGAAGTAAGTTATATATTTTTCCTTATTTGACACAAGAAGAATTAACCACAAACGAATATACCACGAACCAGGTGAATAAGTGAAATCTAAAGACAATTTCATATCCATTTAGCTGCATTTTGCGATGACTGATTTAAAGATGTCTTAAAGTCAACAAATCATCCGTTGCTGAATATTTTGCTTCAGCTATTATATATATATATATATATATATATATATATATATATATATATATATATATATATATATATATATATATATATATATATATATATATATATATATATATATATATAGATATATATAATAGCAATTACATTAACATTTTATTTTATACAATATTTAAATGTTATGCTTTATTTTCGAAATACAGGGTGTATAAACATGTATGCTCAAAGCGACGGTTTAAGACTCCAGCTTCACAATTAAATTAGAACGAAAAATGTTCAGATTTTCACAGTTATGTATTACTTTATAACAGCTGTTTCGACAACATCGTGCCTTTATCAAATACAAAATATGACAATATTCCGACATCCAAATATACAAATCAGGTAGTAATAGATTCTTAATTACCACTTAAATCCAATTGGTCATTATGTAATAGATTGGATTATCTCATTTCAACAAATTTAGTTTTTTGCTTTTTGTTTCTTTATGTAAAATATCAAAATTATCGTCAAACTTGTGCATTTCTGAATATAAATGAATGGCATAGTTAGAATCCGAACTTTCATAAAAGCAATCTTAAGATCAAATTTAGATAGATGTTTCAAACATTTTCTTGCTAGGTTCTCATATGTATTTTTGTGTTTTTATAAATTTTGGGTTCGGTATTTAATATAGCATAGATAGAGTTCCGAGTTGCTTTTACCAAACTTTTGGATTTCTCCTGCGGTCGTTTCGCCAATCATCCTGTTGGCTTCCAAACGTCAGCAATTTCAGCAAAAGCAAAAACCGACGCAAGAGGAATCGAGAAGTTTTGTAAAATGCATTACAGTATCTTGTGGAAGTTTCTTTGAAAAATTAAAAAAGAGTTCCGAGTTATTTGCAACTGTTCTTTAGTCACAATTGTTGTCAAATTTAAATTTATAACCATACATCGGTAATTAAGAATCTGTTACTACCTGATTGTATATATTGCATATATAGATTTAATCACTCGTACAGTAATAATAACAATAAACAATTATTAGTAAGCGAATGTCTGCCCCTTCCAAAATTGTTGGTCTCTTTGTTACATCGAATTTTAAATAATCAGTATGATAGCGATAAAAGAATTTGGGAGATAAGTTTATGTGAACTTCATCATAAAAAATCATTTCCTATCAACTGTTAGAGTTTGTCACCACAAACCTGATCCACCCTGTATGATTTTCCATCTTTTTTCTTTTAGACATTCCATCCTCTCTAATTTGTAACCAACCCAATCATGTGGTATCATATCAAAATCATAAAATGATTTATTAAAGCGTAACAGTTCACCTTGACGCTACTTGATTTTTTTTATCGATTTTTTTTTAAAATGGCGTCATATCCATTTTTATGGTAAAACATATTGATGAAAAGATATATTCCAGTAACTATAATTAAGCTTGTGTAATGGCAGGAGAAATAAACTTTCGCAAAAGCGGTTAAGAAATTCTATTGCGTACTCTGCAAGGTTCGTTAAAAAATTGCTAGAGGTCCAAACGAAACTATAGATACAAATCGAACAAAATTAGGTACATTGTTTTAAATTTGAAGCTGTTCTAAACTGAAGATTAGATAAATGTAATTAAAAACTAATGAATACATAGAAATTGCGCACTATTTTCTTAATCTCGGATGTAATATTTCGCATTTTTAACGTGCGCAATTATTTGTTAACCTTGAATAAAGCTTGTTTCGAGTCGAAACGGTTTTATTAGTAAATATATTAAACAGGTACGCTTGGAAGAGTTGTAAACGAAGTAAGCAAACGGTAACAAAAATTACGCCTCACTTTATACAAGGTGTTTCAGAATAAGGTGCTGATCCTTAAGGGTGTGAATCGCTTAATTGGTAATATAAAAACTCACAGGGTGTTTCTAAGAAACAATCGTTTTTATATCACCATAATAAATCGAATTGATGAAATTTGGCACCCACATCCCCTTATCATAAATTTTTAGAATATTGCTCCCAAGTTTGAGTAGCCGTAAAATCAATGGGGATTTGAAAAATAATTTTTATATAAAAATATCTAGTCCACACATTATACCGACGCCACTGATAGAAAAACTATATATACAGACCAAATTGCATAGAAATTTGTAGGAAATTGTTAAAGTTATTATAAGATAAAATTTAACACTCTGTACCCAAAAATAATTGTAATTGGATCTTTTAAAACAAAAACTAAGTAAATTTGTCTTTATTGTACGAATGGATGGACACGAAGGAAATATTTGTGAGACTTGCGTTTCCTCTTTTCTCGGACATTTATTCATATGAAATCGATATTTCTATTTGCAACTCACCTACTATACTGCTTCGCTACGTTTATATTTTAAAAGCTAGCACCATGTTGGGCTTGTTTTAAATCAATCAAATCAATTTTTATGTTTCAATTCTCCCAGCAAATTAGAACGGAATACCATGTTAGTAACAAAATGTTTATAATACATTTCGAGGCCATTTGATAAGTAAGCAATTTTTAGATATGTCAGAATTTAATAATAAGTTACAATTAAAAAAAAAGAGAACCTCTCTATTATAATTCCGATCGTTAAAATCAATTTCAGAAAAGTGCAAGCTCGTACAGTTTAAGGTAAATGCACACAAATGGCCGATTCAGAAGGTGAAGAATGTAAACCATTTACCAGTATTTACCTTTGCGTCTAATCACCAATTATAATAATATCTTTACCATATTTTAAAAATTTGAGTAATCTAAAACTTGGAGAAATCTGAGAAGCGCGAAAGGTGTTATTATTGTCATAGCTAATGCGCCATGTTTCTGTTCTAGATGTTGTTCATAATGCGACTACTCTCAATCAATTGGTGTTGCTACAAACATTTATCAATCTCTAGTTACCATTACCAGACTGTGTGTGAAAAAAAGTGCGTTTTGAACTGTTAAACTAACGTTGGTTTCGCGCCGCCCGGTATATCGCCACGAGTCACGTTGCCCAGCTGTTAGGCAGGAAATAATAATCAGCAAGCGATACGTCATTGGATTTTGCATCACGTGTTGGTAGTAGGGAACGGATTGGTCGGAAACAATTTATAGCTGGCCGGGCTTTAACTGAATCAGATCAGTTCATACTTCGGACTCTGTAAAGGAGGAGCAAATCTGATAGAAGAAGAGAGACCCAAAAGAGAAAGTTTTCCGTCTTTTGTTTTCGTCGAGTTACCGTTGTATGGGTGAGTAATTATTTTATCAGATATTTTTATGTATTCGTTTTATAGTTCGAATTTTGAAGGTATTAAAAAAACAGAAATTGTAGGAGCGCGCAATGTTAACAATAAAAATAAGTATTTTATTTACGTTATTAAAGGAGTAAAACACCTAACCAGTTAATTGCTAATGACATAATTGTAGACGGATGGAGAATTTTGATTGTCTGAAACAAATTTTACAAAAAAAAAACAAACATTAAGGTCAAAGTTATATGTTGACCAAAAATAGAAAAACTGTATGACATGTTGCAAAATTTAATACTACGCTTAAAATTGTTGTCCCTAAACTATTTGTAATGATTTAATGATTTTCTACTTAACTAATATCGTCATAATATATGGAATAAATTTGGTGTCAAGTTTTAATTGTACCGAGTGGGTTCATTTTGGCGATTAACATCCAAAATTACAATTTGACTACTAATAATACTAATATAAGTATTTGGTTTTCTATATTATGGCCAAAATGATAAAAACACTGGATTTCTAATAGGGCTATACCTACTAATTAATTTTATGTAAAATTTCCATTTCCATAGCAAAAGTTCGCTATTTAAAAAAACCACATTTTCGAAAAACGCCCTGTAACTCTGACACTACTTTCCGTCTGCCTTTTTAGAAAGGGTAATTTCTCGTTAAAAGGGATGTATAAAAGACATATAATCTATCTACACATATAAATCTAAAATTACACCGGGTGTTTCAAATTCTCCTCTCACCATTAGGTTCTAAGAGATATAGGGTAGCTTGTATTCATGAGCCCGATAATATTCAGCTAAACCAATTATTTATCTTTGCTACTTCAGGAACTGAAAAAACTGAAATTTCCGATTTTATTTTTTAACAGTCCCAACAATATGATCATTGCAACATTTTGAGCTTCCTCCTTTTTTCCATACCAGGTGGTGTTTTTCCTGAATCAGCAACTTTAATTTTTGAAAACCGAAGATTTCAGTTTTTTAACTTACTTAACTTCTTCTTATACACAATTTTTGGTCTTATATAACCCAGAAGTTTGCAGCATTTTATAATAACTTGTAGTAATATAATTAAGGTAGAAATTAAAACGCAAAAAATGGTTGGGCCGGGTTTTAACGCGCTTGAATCATGTATGGTGCCAACAAAATTACCTATCACGGACGTCATCCAATACTTTTGCAAAACTTGTGTAATTATAGTTTCGCCGTTGGCTGAGCCAGACAAAACATTTTGTTTACTACGTATTTCGCACATGACGATAAGAAAAAAAATCGTATCTCATTATCGCACCGCGCGCGAAATAAGCTTATTAATTATTGAGCAATCAAAATTATTGCTTTCCTTTAACTGTCTATCTACTTCGCCTTATTGAGTCACGTGGCCAATCCCGTGAACTCGCCAGCGAACAATAAAATTGATAATCGATTTGTAGTCCGTACAACGGACTTTTTAATAAATTGTAGGCGCGTAGGAACAAGATACTATATATGTAATTGGAACAAATTTTAAAGAAGGGAAAATTTGAAAAAACTGAAATAAAATTACCAAATATGGGACTATTTTAAAGCCAAAACTGACAAATCTGGTAGGTATCTCTAGTACATAAAATTCATCGTCTTCATTTAAATTAAACCAAGCGGAGTTTTTTTATCTAATTCGATAAAAATTCTCCCGTTCGCTATAATGGCCCATATTATTGACCATAATTATTGACATTTATTTTTCCTTTCCCTTAAAAAATGGGTATTTGGTGGAACTTTTATACACATAGCATATTACAATTATAATAATAACGTTTATAGTTTTGGTTAGTTTTCTTGAGTTATATTTTTATCTATTCTCAGATACAACTTCGAAATTTATCGGTCAGACTTTATTACTGAGCGGCGAACAACTGACTAACAAATGACGTCAGCGACAATCTTATTCTGTCATGTGTAATTTTACTTTAAATAGGTATAGATATGTCGAATGCTGATAAGAACTAATGCAAATTGCATACTTTACATAATTGAACAAAAATCACCATTTCAGAGCGTGAAAAACAACCGTCTACAAAATCCAAACCGTTGTTGTCGAATGCGCAAGCAGTCGAGCAGCAACAACATGACACCCTCGCGGCAAATCCGACCGCAAGTCTCATGCTTAAGGATCGTTGCAGACCCTATCCTCTCTTGCCTATCGGCGAGGAGGCATTGGACAGCTCCTACGTGCCCACCGTGGGCCGCTGGGGCTGCGAATGGCCGAGTTGACTCGAAACAGCTGATTGCTGGTCTTCAAATGGAACCCTCCTAGGGTTTAAAAGCTCTGCGCCGAGTTTTGCCTCGGCCGACTCCACTAAAGCTGAACTCATCGGCTACGATCAAGTGCACGGCTACTGGCCACCGGCCCATCCTCTACCTTTGCCAAGATGGGCGGCCCAGCCTCTTGAACCCTATAAGTACGTTCAAAACGAGGTTTTCGGTATTTTTGTAATTCGTACATCTCTTTGACTAATTTTAGGTTGAGGAATGTACTTGAATTTGAAGAACTGGCCGGTGAAATCGAGATGGAGTTGCAAAATCTGCTGGAAGAACACAATTACGACACCGTGGGTAATTTCCTGGAGCTGTATCGTAGTTTCAAACGCAGCGGATGTAGGAGCGTAATTGAGTTCTTTCATAAGTAAGTCTCACATAAGTTGAGTATGGTGTGATTAGTTAAAAATTATAAATCGCAAAATAACCGTTTCACTTAACACTACGGGGGTGGAGATAGGGAAATATTATGGGTAATTTGAAGATACCATAAAATGCAGAGTGTTTTATTAACAAAAATGGATTATTACCTTTCTATTAGGTATACGTTTGGATAAGAATGCATATCATTTACTAGAAAAGAATTAATTACATTTCACTCAAAGATGGCGTAGATAGAAAGATGTAAAAAGTTAATTGGAATTTCCAATAAAATAAAAGGTTTTTTTTTAAAAACTTCTGGATTTCGCCTGCGTCGGTTTTTCTTGAGTCGAACTTGCTAACGTTTCGCCAATCATCCTGTTGGCTTTTTCAGAGGATGACTGAAACTGAAACTCCGTTTCAGTCAACAAAAACCGACTCAGGAGGAATCCAGAAGTTTTATAAAAAGTATGATACCAACCTGTGAAAGTTTCTTCAAAAAAAAAAAAAAAAATACAAGGTCTTCTTTGGTGTTGACTTTGGGATGGTCTAACAGTGCTATATTTGCAAATTTAGAATGAATGGGGCCCGACGTTGGAAAACTAATTTAAACTAAACTATTTCTTTCCGTTTTTCAGATATACACCTCGAATAACTACAGAGCATCATACATGCGTAGGTCTGGCATTAGAGTTAAGAAGCAGACTCAAAAAACTAAGAGATCGGTTCCCGGACCTGCACGAGCACATAGCAATAGTTTCGTGCGAGGAAAATATTGTGTCTGTGGCGGACTATACCACCCTGAGAGACACATTCGATACCGAACCATGCACTTTGGAAAAAGAACATGTATTGTTGTGTGTGAAACTGGAGTTTTCCGGAAGGAACGGAGTTTTACTATGTGATCCTGGATACCACGTCGCCAGGGTGGTCACCGTCATGGCAGATAAAGCATATCCCAACACGGGTAAATTAGTTAAATAATTGTATTTATTATTGAAAAATTGCAATCATCATGTGTTTCTGTAGGATGGTTTATTCAGTCAGAAGAAAACAATATCAGAAAAGAATACAATTATCAATTCATAGCCGCCAAGGAGACTTTCGTGCAATGGGACGAAAGAACCACGAGGGGCGACGATCAAAAAACGTTCACGGGATTGATATATGTGGAAAGGCCCTACTTGACTGCGATTGACGTCACCGAGAGGAGAAATTTGGTGTACACATTTAGAAGTCTGTTGTCTCGAGACCAAAAGGGCCATCTGCTCTCGGGGGTTTATTTCAAAGTCAAACCGAAAATGGATGAGTTCACCATCTTCTACCAGGACATGGGAAAACAAAGGACCAAGATGAATTTTTCAGCTTTCAAACAACCAGAGGTAATTTTATAGCCCTTGCATTTTTCAATAAGTACTTTCAAGAAAAAAAAAACATTAGAAAAAGTTGTATTAAAAATGATTTTTATGATAATTACTTTAGACTTCTGTTATTAAATTTAGTACAAACCTGCCATCCATAAGGAGTTTCATCAGATTTTCAAAAAATAGAGAAGTACGCCAAAAACAAAATCAGAAAAAAAGTTATATTAAATACATATGGATTTATGACATTGTTCAAAGATAATAGAGATGAAACCTTAATCAGGTGGTCAGCAGAGTCTTCTCTTTATATTGTTTATGAATTTATTTATTAACTTTCCTCCTTTTTAGGTTAACGAGGATTTGTTAAAAAAACTTACTATTTGCAATGAACAACTGAAAATGCCGTCCGGCAAGCTACTTAATATGATTCAATCGATTGGCGAGCTGCTTAGGGACGACCATTACCTTCGGGAGACATTGGCCATCGAAAACTTGATAAATGTTATGTCCGAAAACAACTAGTGACACCAACCAACCAAAACCGTACTTTATGTACTAAATATTTTAGGTTAGATTATGTGTGGAAAATTTTTTTAGGTTTCTTTTCCCCAAGTTTCAGTGGATTTTTCTAAAATTATTACAACATTATTATATATTATTATTATTATATGCAGATCAGCTTTCAAGTTTATTAGAGCAGAATATTAAAGAGGCTTCGTTATTGGTATTGGTGGTATAAAGCTTAAGATATTCAGCTGGAGGCGCAATTAGATAAAATACAACATTATATTTTTCACGGAGGATGCACTTCATGTAATTAATTTTTGTTATTGTATACATATTTATAGTATTATTTAAATTATAGTGTGGTGCTTGGCCGAATTTTTTTGAGTTTTGTGTTGTTTTGAGCAAGAAATATATTGTGCTTTTGCAATATAATGGACAGTTTTATTTATGAGTCCAAACGATAACGACAATCTTTACTACAAAAAATGTTGCACTTTTTCATTTGGTTACAAAATTCCAAAACATCAGTATACATGAAAAGTAATAAATAATGATAATAATGAACAAAGGTAATCGCATCATAAAAATATATGTTCTACCACAAGGACACTACGAAAAGAAAATATTAATTCTATACAAACTAAATATGCAAAAAAAAACTTTTAAAGGAGTATTAAAAAAAATAGGGCACAAAAACTTAAATTATTTCAAACATAAAAGATTTTAATTTAGAAAACTGGGAACTGTGAACGTCATACTTTTCTCTTCGATTTCTGTTAAATCTTTTCGCTTTACGTGACACTTTGACAATATCCTCTTAAATTTACTATTACCGTTACAATTATTTTCCTCAAGAAAATTGAAACTGGAGCTATTTATTTGATCTACAGAAAAGTTTAGGTTTTCAATATTTGAATTTATAAAACTTAACATCTGACATATTTGAGAATCTTTTGAACATGACGGAACTATTTCAATGTCTGTTTCAAATTGTTATGACTTTCGCACTATCAATATCAATCTACATCGGTCAGAATAAAAAGATTTCTTTGGGAGAAAAATGATATCCGCAAATATAAAAATTATAAAACATTAAGGTTAGTTTCTAACCAAGATCAACTTACCTGTTCTTTAGACTTTGTCTACAATTCATGCAACAAACAGGTTTTGTAATCAAAATCTATGCCTAAAATATTCAACGAATAAAAAAGCCGTTCTTTAAATATCATAAATTAGTTCTATGGTAATTTTTAAGTAGAACCAACATACCGACAACTATATTACTGTTTGACTTTCATCCCCATGACCGGTCTGAAGTGACCGAATACAGGACGACTGATCGACCGACCGTTCCAAAATTTGAATGATTTAAGATTTAATGCATGACTGAGACAGGCCACGGAAACGGAATAGGAGTATTGTTATAATTATTCTATAGCATTGAGTTGCGACATCGATCTTTAGATTTGCTTATGTGTTGAATTGAATATTGAATGAAATATCTAATTCCACATAGGTATTTAATTTAAAACACAGAACACAGCTAAATATTCTACCCACTAAAACATTAAATAGAACATATAGACACAATAATTCAAATTCAAATGAATGTGAATCGGTCGTTCGGGGTGTTCGGATTCAGTGACTATTGCCGCTTATGTTGGCAACAAAAAATATTGAAGTGAACATTAATTGAAATGAATCGGTCCTTTCCGGAATCGGTCATTGATTGATTCGGTTCTAGTAGAATAAACGATTGACACAACACTAACATAGAGGCTCTGCCTGTGCCGATAATACATGCGCATGTGCCAGATTTAAAATCTAGTTTTTAACCAATGAGCTTGCGGCATTAAACAACAGATATGGCCGCTGACAGATCGTCATTTTTACCGCAGTATTTTCTCAAAACATCCCTAGATCTCTTTAAAGGTCTTGAAAAAACTAGTTACGTGTGTGGAAATCCCTGTTTAGAAAGAAAATGACCTATGATTGTCGAAATTGTTGTAGGAAATTGTCAATTCGGGATATTCAAACAAGTCCGAAACTCAACAATTTATTGACACTACAAAACTCAACACGAAAAAGATTAATACCAAAAGTACAAAAAGTAACCACGCGTCTCTAATTCTAACATAACCTAACCTTCTTAACTAGACCCTAGTCTACATTCGTTCCTCGGACCATAGATGTAGGATATATTTTATTGTTTCGTTTAACGATTACCAACAGAAATATTGACGCAAACGCGAAAAATCAGTCTCTACGAAAATGTCGATGCCACCTACGGCCCATCAATTGTTATTGTAGTAGGGCCACTAGATCCACGAAAAAAAAAACTAACTGAAAATCCCCATTCCTTTCTCCCTTTCTGTGTGAGGACTCTCTATTAGCCTTCTAGGAGTGTTAATTCCATGGTTTACCCCGTTACTATTTTAAGCAAATTAAAAACAACTAGTCGCGGCACTGCTAATCTAACATAAAAATCGATGTGGATGTGGAAAAATAGCGGATATCAAAATGAATTTTTCAGCTCGCAAAAGGCGAATTTATTACGACACTAATTGTCCAAATTCAAAATTCGCGAAACCTAAAATGATTCCCGCATTTTATTTACTTAATATGGTTGAGCAAGTTGGGTCAATAACCTTGATAACCTTCTACTCTCGGTATGTTTTGGTATAGGTATATATTTTCTTTTGTTATCCAGTTAATATTGATATAAAAAAGAAATAAATTTAATTATCTGCCAATGTTTTATGCAAAAAAAAATTCTTTTGCAAACGTAAATTCTACAATTACTTTTTTTGTGACTGTTCAACCCAAAAAAGAGCTCCATTCTAGAAAATTGGAAGAAAAGCTGATTTCAACTGGAATTTCATCGGAATCTATGTAACATTATTCTCTATGGATATTCTTGTCTAGGCTTTCCAATTTACTTGACACGCTGTGTGTCTACAAAGGTTTGCGCAATTCTCTGGCACCTTCGCCATTTTTCCCTGTTTCTCAGAAGATCGGTATTTTCTTAAATTTGCTCTGTGTGTTCTCCGCCGAGTCGTGAACAGGGTCGTATCTTTTTTTCCCGCTTCATCAAGAAAGCTAACTGGCGGCCACTAACTAATATAATTTACACCATAATATTACATTTATTTGGAACACTGCCATAATACATAATATTTCTGCCGCACCTGCAATTTGTTTATTGGAAATTTTCGCTTTGAGGTTTTAAATACGTTGAAAAACATAATTGTTGTAATAAATTCACGTAAATGAAATTTTAAACTGACAAGTAGGCGTTGCTACTTGGTAGGTATAAAGTTTCACAAAGCAGTGTGTTCGCGCCGAAATAGATTCATCGCAAGTTCTTCTTGGAATATATTAAATATTCCAAAACGTCGCGAAAGACTAACTCCGAAATGTTTAGAAAACAAAGTGCCTTAAAGTCGACCGTTAAAAGGAACCAAGGCAAAAAAGTTAAGAATGGTACCAAAAGAAATCGACTAAGGGACCACCGCAAATTCAACCCATCTAATTTTGTTGTTAAGAGGGTAAGCGAATGATGTTTACTTGGTTGTCTATAATTACACAAAATATGGAGGAGCACACTGTAGTAATATTTAATTGCATAAGTTTGGGGAAAAAGTACCTACACCCACTTTCTTCCCCTTGGGGCATACAATTTCACAATTTCTTGACAAAAACACGGGAGCATTGTATATACTGTAACCTTTGTTTTCTTTTAAATATTGTGTTTCTTGAATAATATAACAAATTTACTAAATTAATTACTTTAAAAATTGTGAAAAATAAATAAACAAAAGTTTTTTCTTATTTTAAGCCAACGATCATTCCAATGAATAAATTTTAGTTAGTTATAGTTATGGCAACAAGAAATTAATAATAACGAATTTCTTGAATTTTGTGTTTCAAAAATAAGCTTGCAAATTGAACAATTGCTTTTTATAACCAAATTTTGATGATTTTTTTTGTATTATTTCTATTGTTAATTTGCAAGGTTCACGATCAACAAAGAAGTGCAAAACTGTTCCACTGCGCTTAATACCGAACAAAAGGAGAACAACTCGTATATAGTCTAAATAGAATGGTTCATTTTGATGCACTTCTGCCAGATCAGGGTTTCAATCTTTTCAATTTCAATCTCAAACGAAATTGAATTAGGTCAGTCTAAGTATAGGACTGGTTAGTGTTTTTAATATTTTTTAACACGAACTAGGCCCGTTCTGACAATTTCGTGTGGAAGTACTTGTTTTAACTTGCTTAAGTACCGCTCGGCGCTGAAGTGGGCAGCGCGTATTAGTACGGACACTTTAAACACGAATGTAGTAACCGGAACATAAATTTTCGCGTGAAGTGGCTGTTTCGAGGATTTTTAGTTCGACGTGTGTATGTGCCAAGTAAGTATAAGTCCGACTCTGTTCGATGATCAATTGACACTCCCAAAAATAGTAAATTACAATCACGCCGTAGCTCTGAATCACACATCCACTCCAAAAAGGTTTAAACCCATTTTAGAAGCAATGCGATTTTAGCGTAGGTAAGGAAAGCCCATTTTCAAATAAAATAGTGACGTCGGCGATCGAAGCTTGCCGAACTGGTACGAACTTCCACAGCGCAATACGAAAATCGAGGAAGGCGCGAGTCCACTTCCATCAAAGTCAAATTGACTGCCAGTTTGAGCGCTCAGTTTTGAAAATAGCTTAAATTTCGAATCCGCGATAAAATGGTACGAAGCACGGCTATAGGAATTGATTTGGGGACAACCTACTCATGCGTGGGAGTATGGCAACAAGGAAAAGTCGAAATTATCGCTAACGATCAAGGTAAAAAAAATATTTACACTATAGCTTTATTTGTCATAGAAAAATAGGTTTCTTAAGTTAGAGATAGCAAACTGGCACTTCTTTACTTTTAACGTTGTTCTACGAATGATCAAATATTGAGTGAGTACTTAAAGTAAAATCGTATAGTATATACAAAGCGTTCAAATTTTTATTATAATATTGATAAATTGGTCGAGAGAAAGCACCTTCACTATTTTTTGAAGTTTTCTGATGTTCCTCAATTTAAAACAACAAAATCAAATATTTAGAAACATTTCCTACCTAAGTTCCAGGCTGGCAACTATAAAAACATCATATGTAGACTGAAATAACTAATGAGCATCCTGCAGTTTTTGTTAGTTTTGCCAACTTGCTCCACTCTGATTAACAACCTTAAACATTATTTTAATTTCATTTTTTCATGGATTATGTACTTATATTATAAACACGGCAAGCTTTTAAAGGAAAATAATTTGTGAATCCAGCACTCAGTCTTTTAGTAGAAGCTGCGTAGAACTTTCATAGTCCCCAGAGGCCTTTGAGAAAATTAAAAAAATATTTTTTGAATACTAAATAGATACGAAATTAAAAATCTAGGAGAACAACAACTCCTTAAATGCACACAGCCAATTTGTTTTTATTTAATAATAAATTGTTTTTCAAGACCTCTTTGAATTAAATAAGAAAACATCAAATGAAAAGTGAATTTTCTCCAATTTTCAAGAACCTATCGTGCTTCATTGTTGATATTCCAAATAATTTTAAAGGTAATCGAACCACCCCCAGTTATATAGCGTTCACAGACACGGAGCGTCTGATAGGAGACGCAGCCAAAAATCAGGTGGCGATGAACCCCAACAATACCGTTTTTGATGCCAAGAGACTCATCGGCAGAAAATATAACGATCCAAAGATCCAACAGGATATGAAACTATGGCCGTTTAAAGTGGTGAACGATTGCGGCAAGCCCAAGGTGCAAGTGGAATTTAAAGGCGAAATGAAGACATTTTCTCCGGAAGAAATTAGTTCCATGGTGCTAACGAAAATGAAAGAAACTGCTGAAGCGTATCTCGGCGGAAGTATATCCGACGCTGTCATTACTGTTCCTGCTTATTTCAATGATTCCCAGAGACAGGCGACAAAAGATGCCGGGACAATCGCAGGTATGGAAATATGCATTTTTAGTTTAGGTTTGGGGTAATGCGATTTGAATAGAAACTGTATGCAGAAGAGAAAATTTGCCTCGCATGGCACTGAATATCGATTGATGGTTTCATTGCGTGTCTGTATTACATTTACGTCCATAGCTAAACTATATAGGTATTTTAAAATGTAAAGCAAATCGATATTCAAAGTAGTAAAATGTTTGTAGGTCAAGAACATTAATATTCCTTACAGTCTCTAGTTAAAGGCACGGGGCCATCTATATGGATCAAATTATATGTTCCTCATTTTGCAGCAAATTATTGGTCGTTATGCAACAGCGATAAATTTTGTTCATTATGATAAATCATAAAATTAAGACCGGATGTATGGAAAAGTAACAAAAATTGCAACAGATAAATTCTACAATTTTAGCCGACTGTACCAAAGCTGTTGCAAAACTCAAAATCTTATTGTTCAATAAACATTCCTGAATACTAAACGGGAAATTTGCCGGGGCCTGGCTTTGAGGATTTTTTTAGCACGTGTTATCTATTGAGGCCATGTTTTAAAATTTTCAAGGTTAGGCCTCTAGAGTTATTCTTTGAGGATTTTCGGAATGTGTGTGAGTACACAAAAAAACCTGTTTTTAATTGGATTGTTAGTAGCTGGTTAATACCGAAAATAAAAATTTCCTTTTTACAAAATATTTGCAGTGATTTTGACAAATCTTTCAACAAAGTTATAAATAAAAGTATATTTTCTACTCCCTACTTTAAAATAAGAAATCATGTATAAATATATGTATTATGTATACTCACGGTCGCGAGCCATTTCGGGCTTTAGTCATGGGTTTTGAAGCTATGGTATTTTGACTTTTGTCAATTCCTAACGTTTCATGAATGTTTTGAAAAAATGTATCCAAAAACTGATTGTTGTAGAGTTTGAGACCGTTCAATATACACCTTAGCGTTCATCACTTTTGATATTAAATAGTAAAAATATTTCTTAAAATCTAGCATTTTTATCATTTTCTCTGATTTCCTAATAAAACAGCATTCATGTTTTGACTTTCGAATTTTGTAAATGGAGTGAAATTGAATGAAAATGTATCAAAATTGAACGTTAACATTTATATAACGTTTCACGACATTAATCTGATTTGTTTTGCCATTCGCATTATGGTCACTTATAAATGGTAAATGTTTTCTCAATTAGGTACACATGATAATGACCATGCCAATATTGCAGCGTAGTGAACTGAAAATGAACTAAGAAAACCTCAAAACGTCGGCGTCAAGCGATATCAAATAATTTTATCTTTACATTTTCTTTTCCCACTAACGAACTAATTTTTGGTTTTCAACGGAGAGTACATTGATAATTTCGAAATTAAAATTTTGTGCAGCCTCATAACATAAAAGTTTATTTTTACATTCTCAGACAACTCAGACTCTTTTATAGGCATAAACGTGCTTCGCATCATTAATGAACCAACGGCAGCTGCTCTTGCTTACGGACTGGACAAGAACCTCCGCGGTGAAAGAAACGTCTTGATTTTTGACTTGGGAGGCGGTACATTCGACGTTTCCATACTTACCATAGACGAAGGTTCGTTGTTCGAAGTGAAGGCGACCGCAGGCGATACCCACTTGGGCGGCGAAGATTTCGACAATCGTTTGGTCGACTTCTTCGCTGACGAATTCAAGAGGAAACACAAGAAAGACATTACCAAAAACCCTAGAGCTTTGCGGAGGCTCCGGACCGCAGCAGAAAGGTACCTAACGGTGAAAGCTAATCTCTAAAAAGTCATTTTTGCACTAAAGTCGATTTTCTAAGAATTTTAGGCCTTGTGTGCTTATTTTATAATTATATATTAAATTTTTCCTATCCACAGAAGAACTACAAATATTAGAAAAAAAAAACGTTAAATTCAAAAGTTGTAGGGGTTTTCGTCTATCATTCAAAATCACCTATTGTACAGGGTATCTCAATAAAATATTACAAAAATATTTTGTTTTTCCTAAAACTTGTGAAAACTCCTAAAGATTTTTTTTGTTCATGGCCGTATTTACACTTTTGAGTTGACCCTTGAAACGGCTATTAAAACTAAACTACACGTAGAGCAAAATAACTTTTACATTCCTATCTTAGTTTTATTGTATTTTCAATTGGATTTGTATTTTTTTTATATTCAATTAAATCTGCGGTTTACAACCCAAGGGAGCTTGTCAAAAACTAAGATATCGGAATGTAAGAGTCTCTAAGTTGAGTCATTTAGATTTTATAGACGCTCAAATTACTTAAAATAATCCAAATTATTGCTTTTCAATAGCTGAAAAACAATTGAGAATATAATATGTATATGGCGTTTTTGGCATTAAATTATTAAACATTCGACAAACCAACTTGGAAACATTGACTTTATAATAACAGAATAGAATTAGTAGTGTTGAAACTCTTACTAAGCACTTATTTGGTCTTTATGTACTTTATGTACCTCAATAAACACTAAAATAATAACACTAATAAAAATAATATATATTTATTAAGTATTAATTTCTCACAAAATTTTATTGTTGCTAAAACTTGGTGCATAGCAAAAAAACATTTTCAATTATGTCAAATTTTGGATTAGATATACAGGGGGCATAAAAAGTACAAAGATATCACTTTTAAAATCGAAATAATGAAAATGAATTTTTGGGATCCAAATTTAAAGAGGGTTAAAGTATAAACAAAATTGGTTCATACATTTTTTGCATGAATAATAATCGTTTTTGAGAAAAATTAAATCAAAAATTGCAATTTTTTATTTTTTTGCACAAATTTACTTGAAAAACAAGGCTTTGACAACGGGACAGGCCCGGGCTCAGCCCATTCGACTCGCTGACCACATTATCTTTTTTTTTATTCTTCTGCCCAATTTCTCAAGGCACTTTGGCAACAAACAATTGCAAAAAAAACAATATTTAGAGCGAAGAGGACGTTGAGTTCCAGTACTGAAGCGACTCTCGAAATAGACGCATTGTTCGAAGGCATCGACTTTTACTCGAAGATATCAAGAGCGAGGTTCGAAGAGCTTAATTCGGATTTGTTTCGAAGTACCCTGGCGCCTGTAGAAAAGGCACTGAACGACGCTGGTACTGACAAAAACAAGATCGACGACGTCGTGCTGGTCGGTGGTTCCACCCGTATACCGAAAATCCAATCGTTATTGCAGAATTATTTCAACGGGAAAAGTCTAAATTTGAGTATTAATCCGGACGAGGCCGTGGCTTATGGGGCTGCTGTCCAGGCTGCGATTTTGAGCGGCGATTCGAGTTCTAAAATACAGGTGCGTTTCCTATAGACTCGCCCGATTTGTAGAATAAGGACATTTTATATTAAATATTCATTGGACCTTTTTGTTTTTTTTTTTTTAAGTAATCTTTGACACGTTGACGTCCTGCATTTTGGTAACAAAGCTTATTTTTTTATTTAAAAGCTGATGAAGATGCAGTTTTATTTTGTTTGCAGCATTTCCAAAGAGTTATATTGAAAAATTGAACTGAGGTGGCTTTTACTTGATGAAAATCCATTTATCAAAATAAATAAGAACTAAAAGTTCAGATTTTCAAGAAATTATATATTTTGACATGACAATTGTTTCGACAATACCGTGTCTTTATCAAATGTCAACATCATATACTAAAAATCATATACTAAAAATTCTGCGGTGGGTTCGCATGCTTCTAAGTAATACGTCAATGAGGTTCAGGCTGCAATGGCCTAAAACAGAGTCCAGAAGTAAATTGTTAATTAAATTAAATCTAATTCGGAATTCTCCTTTTTACTATGCTATATATGAATTGACAAAAACATTTAAATATCTACTAGTAGTAAAATAAACAAATGAGTGAAAATTAACCTTTAAAAAAAATAAATAACCATATATTTAAAACTATTTTTCGTCCAGAAGTAAGAAGGAAATGATTTTTATTTGATATTTTCTTAGGACGTGTTACTGGTGGATGTAACTCCACTCTCCCTCGGTATAGAGACTGCCGGAGGAGTCATGTCGAAGATCGTCGAGCGAAATTCTCGAATACCCTGCAAACAAACCCAAACTTTTACGACGTATTCGGACAATCAGCCCGCGGTAACTATTCAGGTTTTTGAGGGAGAACGTGCCATGACCAAGGACAATAACCTGCTCGGTAAGCCAGTGTGGATTTGGTCAGAATTGTAACATTTATTTTGCATCGGATATCACGATTTTTTGGTCAGTCCATGGTTAATTTTAACAAACAAATGCACTTAAAGCCTTGGTTAAAAAATGTGGTTCAGGTACAAATTTCTTTTGTAAAGTTAAATACAACTAACTTTTGACAAAAGTTATATTTTTATTAAAAATCTATATTAAACCAGATTTTTTTTAGTTAATGATGTGATTTTATGACGTACACTTTTTGGTCAAGGTTGCCAAAGTCTGGAAGTTATCCATCTATCCATAACTATAGTCATCTTGATGATGCTAAATGCTAAATCCAGAATGCTGTATTAATTGGGTTGTTGTTGTGGTTCTCAGTATTCCTCCATACGTTCTCGTTTTAAATTGGCAAAGAGATTATTAGACAACGTTGATTCAAGAATTAAAATTACGTATTTAAAGTATATCAAGAATTAATATGAAATGGTGATTACAATAAAATCCCTCTTACCTTTTTCTTCCTTATCTGAAAATATCTAGCGACCTAAGATAAGAGGGGGATTTAAAATAAGGAAGTTTGAATTTGAGTTGAGTTTGAGTTTGAGACTGCTCCAAACTAAAACGTTTTAGGTCAAGTTTTAACTCCCGCCCTTACTTACTTGCTCGGTGAAAATTGTAGTGAGGATACGGGATACATTGGTAATTCTAAAAGACCAATAGAACAATGCAGGGGTCAGTTCGACAACGAATGACTAACAGATTCCATTCGATTATACAGTGTGTCCCATTTAGGGCGTATCTTCTTCTTTTTCATGGAATGAAAGGTGGAAAGAACAGAAACCTTATATCTCCTCTTTTTTAGATACAGGGTGATTTTGATAAACTTATCGTGAAGATGGAAACTGATCTGAAAAGCGTATTTTAAGTAGGGTTCAGTTTGGGGACACACTGTACCCAATTTCAAGTCCCAGCTTTTCCGCCGCGACACCCTGTATATAAAAAAATCAAATCAAATGCCTTCCTCAGGCGCAATTGTTTCTTAGGGAATTTCGATTTGAGCGGCATCCCACCGGCGCCGCGCGGCGTTCCCAAAATCGACGTCACTTTCGATCTGGACGCCAACGGTATCTTGAACGTGACGGCCGTCGAGGTCGGCACCGGAAAGTCCAGAGCCATAACCATCAAAAACGACAAGGGAAGGTTGTCGCAAAGAGAGATAGAGCGTATGCTTGCGGACGCGGAAAAATACAAAGAGGAGGATGACCGTCAGCGCGACAGGGTGGCCAGCAGGAATAAGTTGGAGAGTTACATTTTTAGGTAATATGATTTAAATTGATTTATCTTTCATTCAAGTTTCTCATCTATCTATGGACAATTCGCTTCATGATTGCCATGAAAACTCTGATTACTGACTCTTACTTTGGCCCCATTATTGCTCAGGGCCCAATAAGCCAGTGAAAACCCGATCTCAATATCTGTACCCTAACCTAAGATATGAATAAAGGAACTTAAAATTAAAAGAAAAAGTTGAATTTTGGGAAGCATTTTCCTGCAGAGGAAACAGCAACAAATTTTAATCTCAGTGATCAAGAATTGATGGAAATTTGGGGCCAACATTGAGGTTAAAAAATAAATTTTAACAAATGACTTTGCATTAAAAAAAAAAAGATAAAATTTTGACAATTTTTTAGCGTGAAGCAAAGCATCGAGGAAGCGGGTTCGAAACTAACCGAAACGGAGAAGCGAAAAGCTCAAAAAGAATGCACGAATTGCATCAAGTGGTTGGACAATAACCAGACGGCGGAAATCGAGGAATACGAATACAAACTACGCGAAATTCAAAACGTTTGCCGCCCCATAATGACAAAATTGCATAAAGGCGGGAGGCCCGCCGCCGCAGGGGAGGAACAGGACGGCCCCACCATAGAAGAAGTCGACTAAAATACAAATTTATTCCCCCTGGCGTTTTATTTTTTCCGTTGTCGCGCAATTTGCGAATTGACTTTGTATAATTTAATCAGAAAATGCCATTTTCCAGGGAAAAACAAAATTTGGCAAAAAAATACTCGTTTTTTTCTGCCAATTCCATATTTGAGAAATTATTTTATGACTTATGACAGTTTCTATATTAATTATAAAATGGCAATAGAGTTTAGTTTCCTAATTATTATTATTATTGTTATTATTAATTATGAAAAAGGAGTTATAGAGGGAGATAATTTCGATGAATGTATTAATTTGGTTAACAAGGAAAACGTGTGTATAGTTTCCCTAATTAATGCATGTTGAAAGAGCACCAGTAAACAATATTGGGTACATTAACATTAATTATTACATACATTACCAGGATAAATCTAAGTATCGTCTAAAAAACCAAGTTCCTTCATTTTCGCCTAAGTTTTCAATATTTTGTTTCTCTAGTTTAATTTTTTTAAAATTTTTGTATGGTACGTTATTGCAAAAGAGCTGATAGGCTACCAAAAATAGATTATAAGCTCTACTTTAATAATGCAAATTTTTGAAGAATAACTCTTTCCAACTTAAGTCGGAAATTTTGAAAAATGAGTCAGAATTTCCGGAAAATCACTCAAAATTTCTGTCAGGTTTTTTGAATTTGAAACTTATTGTCTATATATCTGTCGCGTTATGGTTGAAGTCTGATGAACACCTGAAAGAATGCTTAGTTTTTCACACAAAAAGTACTGTTATTAGGCAGTGTGCATTTAATAAGTTCAAGGTCTGATTCCTTAAGAATACTTAAAAGATGAAGAGGTACCGGTTCCAACAAAACACTAATAGTTGACAATTTTAGCAACAGTAGTAAAACAACTTCAAATCCATATTGGAATTACATATTTAAGTGACCATTAACTCCCGTTTTGTCATTGACCATTCTTTATGAATCACCTGAAACATACATTCTGGATATTCAGGTCATGGAATGGGATAAGATTCTTAATCCCATAGACGAGGTACTAAACTGCACGTAAAACGTATGGGAACTTAGTTATACAAGGTGTTATGGAATTAACTTTATTATTATTATATATCAGGCTGTTGCTGTATTTAAAATTTTGGCCACTGTTAATTGTGGGCAGACTCGATTTTTTGTACCAATTCCTTATTTGAGAATTTATTTTATGACTTATCGTAATTACCAGTTAACAATTCGGTTGGGCAATAGTGCTTAGTTTCCTACTTCTGTATATGTGCTGATAAGAAATCCATAAATCCAATTTCTATGTTAATTATGAAAAAGGAGTTAAAGAGGGAGATAATTTCGATGAATATATTAATTCGGTTGAGGAGGAGGTCGTGTGAGAAAAGTGCAAAATATCATTTCATTAAATTATGTTCGTGTATTGTAGAGGTACAGTAGAGTCTCAGTTATTAATGCGGGTTCAAAGAGCAGAGTTTCTTTCGTTTAATTTTTTTATAATTTGTCTATAATACATTATTTAATTTAATTTAATAATGCGAATTTTTGAAGAATAAGTCTTTCTAATTTAAGGGTGCATTAACATTAACATTACCAGGATAAAGAGAAAATTTCGAGCCCTTTTGCTTAAATTTTCAATATTTTGTTTCCTTCGTTCAATTTTTTTTATGAATTGTCTAATACATTACGAAAGCGTTGACGGGCTGCCAAAAATAGAATATAGGTTTTAGTCAGAATTTCTTTAAAATAAGTCAGAATTCAGTTTTTTTGAATTTGAAACTTGTTTGGACGTTGCTTCTAGAAGGCGCTAGTTTCACTGTATTATTTAGATAAGTCGAATCATTTTCTTTTATCCGTTGCACCGAAACGTGATGGAAGAACATTTAGTTTTTTATAGAAAAAGTACTCTTATTTATTAGAAGTTCAAGGTGTCTTAATTTAACAAATTTGGCAGTAGTAATCAAAAACGAATTCATAATTCCAATATATCATATTTAAATGACTAGTTCCTCCAGTTTTAATATTGCCTATTACTTATGAATCACCTCGTATATCTGATATTTCCATTGGTACTACGTAAAAGTGCATCTGACTATTACGATTGCACTTATAATTAAAAGTATGTGGCTGTATTCGATTGAAGATTTCTAAGACCTTGCTTTGGTAGTGATTTCATCTCTACGTATTTGTAAAAAATTGATGCGCGACTCAAACGATATAATTTAGAATTAGTTTACACTTAACCAATATAGAATTATCAATATGGCGAACCTAAAGTGATTATATATTTATTCATTAACATTGACGTATTATAGATAAGTAGGAAATAAATCTTACTACCGCCCAACACTTAACTTCCGATCCCCACCGTACGTTAAGTCGACCGTGGCTGAAACTTCTCGACCGCACTGTATACAACAGGTTCGAGTTGTTGGCACACAGCCTCAAGAGAAGGGAGGCATACTTTCTTGAGTGTCGACCGCAAGCGGAGAGGAACGCTGTTGTGCCCAACGCTAGTGACGCATAACGAATAGGTTAGGAAACAAGTTTGAGATGTTTTTAAAGTTTAAAAACTGAAAAGTCCATTGTTGTGCGTGATTTTGTTAATCGTTAAACGTACGGTGAGAATTTTCGAAACGGAAAACGGTCGGTTTCCGGTGCTACAGCTGCCCATTTGATAGTTTCGAACAATGTGATTGTTTTTTCGGAAACACAATGAACGCACAATTTCGGCGGTTTTTCAAATCACGCTAAAGTTCTTCGCGGTAACGCGAGCGTTATATTGGATAAGAATTTAACGTGTTTTTTGCGATGGAAACCATCGCCATCAACAATCTTGGCCATAATTTACCTGAGGTGAGTAAATCCGAAAGGATTTTTCTTCGGCATTTTTACAGCACGGCGTCAGCAAGAGGCTGCGGTTAACGAATCTCTCGGTTTACATGGCGAGATGTTTTTTCAATCGCCGCGTCTCAATTTGGTTACATTTCGTCTGTCAAATAAATATGGAAAAATGTTTAGCAGTAAAATAGAAGCGGTTATCGGAGCGTTGTTACAATTTTATACTTCACTATTCAACCTTTGATATTTTGATCTGATTAGGTTGTTGTTGTTGTTCGTCATTGTTTGAAAAGCTCGTTTCGGAATTCTTTCGTTAAATTTTGAGTCCGGTTTTCGGAATGGTAGCACACACTTTGTTTTTATTAAAAACTGCTATATTTTGAGAATACAGGCTTGACTCGGAAATAATCGAGGGTTTAGTTCCCCTTTGCAGAAATAAACTAAATAAGGTCTTGATTAATTTGATCTCAGAACTAGTTTGTGACGCCACATGGGAATGTGGACGAAATCTTGGCCAAAAATCTAGCACCAATTATTGAAACAAAATAATTTGGTAAATTTCTGTAAAAAGCAGATATAGTTTCAAAAAATTTTTTTTTCAAAAATTCTTTTCCTTTTCACTTTTGTTGCACTCGATAGTGTAGTCTGTAGTGGAATGTAAAGGAGTCATAGGAACTAAAAATACTACAAAATTACTAAATTATCGTATAAAAAAGTTTATTTTTGAAAAGAAAAAAAGAAATCATACATACCAATATATCCAATAGCAGCTGAACATAGCAGTACCTATATTTAACATAAACTAATCTACCTTGAGCTAAGCATCTTCCTCCTCAATATTCTCTGTCGCTATCACTTTTTAATTTGTGGTTCCTCGAGGAAAGCTAAAGCACAATTCTTTTTCATATTTGAAATTAGATGCTCGGATGCTACAAGATTACCAAAAATGTCCTCCATATTTTGTTCTGCAAAAATTCTTGCATTCAATTCCCTGTTCCTTTTGACTTGTATATTTCGTGATTCCTGAGCTTTTTGTGTTTTGCTTTCTTGAAAAGCTTGTGTTTACTTCAAAACCACTGGATTGGGTTTGCAAAATTGTCCAAACTCTATCAGGTCTGTACTTGCAGAAATATCCTGCACTACTAAATTAAAATATATTAAAAGTAAATCCTGAATTGTTTTCTATTTTGTGCCATCTTTAGTTTTCTTTAATTATATTTAATGATATTTCGTAAGTTTCACAAAAAGAAATAATTGGTGGCAAATAACTTCTACTAACAATATCCGAAATTTTAATTATTTCAACAGAAGTTCTTTTTAGTACCCAAAATGTTGTTTGTTTGTTTGAAAAAATATTTCAGCAAACCGAAGCAAAGCAAAACTAATCAACTTTTTATGAAAACTCTTTAACCGTAAAAGTGCATGAAAGGCTCATTAAAGTGGTGTACTATTTCGTTTAGAAAAATATACCACCTGTACCCAACATCTCCGTCCCTGGAGTATAAAAATTTTACTTTTTAAAACATGTAGAAAAAATTAAAATAGTTATTCACGTTTCACAATCAAGCTTTATGGAGGAAAACTTGATCGGTCCTCCTAAAATTCACCAAATATTAACATAACATAAACGTAAAGCACGAATAATGTAAAATCATGCATATAATAATCCACTAAATCTAAAAATGGAAAAAAACTGGGTTTCATTTAAATTTCAACATGCGATATTAAACCTGATACTATAGGCTTTTGATAGCTGATGATGAACTATTCAAAACGACAATAATCTTGTGCACCTTGACAACACGAGTCGTTAAATATATTTCGTGGAGGCGGGCGGTGGGTTCTCTCTTTTCGCCACTTCATCTTCATCTTTTTAATATAGCTTTCATGGTTTGTGAAGTGCTAACGAAAGTTCATTTTGAGAACTGATGAGTGACAGAGGGGAAAACCGCAGGGGAATTTTGGTGTACAAATCCTTGAAATTAGTGGTAATAGTAGAGAAATTAGTTAAAAAAAATCGTTTTGTAGCGTCTAGGTAGAAGCACCGCAACTCTAACCAACTAACCAAAACTAACTTCAGCATGGCTAGAGTTTTGTCGGTGTTGCTAAGATCCTCAAACGTCGCTGTTATTGTCGAGTTGGTTGGTGAGGTAGTAATCTAGAGCAAAATGCGTATTTGAACTCAACAGTCGTTATAAGAAACAACGTAAAACTTGCTAGATCTTACCTTTCATTCTTACTTTACATTATTGTCTGATGTTTCCTAAAAGGAAATATTTAGTTGAGTGAACCTCGACTGTAACACTGGGAACTACTATCTTTTTTAAAACGACTTCTCGAACTTATTACACTCGAGACTACAGCTTTGACCGATGTGAGAAAAAATATATCTAATTACATATTGTTGGCTTGTTTATATGGTGGTGGCAATTTTGAATTAAGTCATTTAGAACAATATACTAACACAAGTATACAAAATTAAACTTTTTGGCAAATGTTTTTATTTTGAAAACTGATTCTGACGTAAGATTTTTTGAAAATGTCAAAGAAAAAAAAACGATATTTATACAACGAACGAAAACTGTTTCTTTGCAGAGAAATCTATTAATATCCAGGGTTGCCAAATCGCATTGAATGAGTGAAATCTTCGTCTTTTTACCAGAAGCTGCATTGTCGTGACATTCGGCTGTGTGTTTTTAAGGGCATATCCCGTTTTAACACCTACCAGTACTCCGCCATCATCCGCCTTGGTATACCCGTTCCATTTCCTTAATGTTCTGATGAAACCTCTTTCCCTGTTTTTCGCTAACTGCTTCAAGATTTTCAGGAAAATAGTGTGAAAACAGAAAATGCACTTTTAACCTAATATTACAACCTAGACGGTGAAAGTGTGTAACATATTTTGAACAAGGCTTTCGTAGCCTTCGTCCTTAGAGTTCATAAGAAACTTGTCAATTACTTATTTAAATGAAACCCACGCGTTTTTCTCGACATTGGTCATTGTGTTTTGAAAATCATTGTCTTTGCGGCCAAAAAATAAATACCGTCTCTTATTTTGGCATCAGATATGGCTGGAAATTTCTAGCACAAATATTTGAAACACGGTCCATTTTTGTCTAGCGCTTTAACAAACTGGTTCATCAAGCCCAGTTTGATGTGAAGAGGAGGCAGTAAAACTTTTTTATGGTCAACTAAGTTGTCTTTTAATACATTTTTGCTATCAGGTGTAAGGCTGGTTCCAGAGGGCCATTCTATATGTCTATCTCTTGCCCGACTATCCCACTCACAAATTAAGCACGGAAATTTTGGAAAACCCCCCTGTTGTCTTAGAAACATGCGCAATACTTTAAGGTCACCACAAAACATCCACTGATGTTCTTGGTAGTTTATTTTCTTCAAAAGAAGTCCTAGATTTTCAAAGGTTTTTTTTTTTTTTTAAATATACTGAATGTGGAACGCGAACAGAGGTCAGTTCCTCACCATTGTGCAATAAAACGCTTTGTAAACTACGTTTACTTGAACCAACGAACAGGCGCCATTCTCCTTTTATATACGGTACATTTCCTAATTTTGAAACTAAGCTAGGAATATTGTTGGAATAAACTAGCGGTTTATGAGGAACTGGTCGAATAGCAGAGTCAAGATTGGGATACACAAGTTGTTTCTTATTTTCTAATATTCGATACCATAGGAACACCAAAGCTTAAACATTTCTGTCAACCTTTTTGCCATCTTCAATGCAAAGGGAACAAACAGTATGAGGAGCCCAGGACTTATCTTGGTCGCCAATTAATTACACCATAGAGAGCGCTATAAAAAAATGATGTGATAGAGCAAAAATATTGCGTTTTTTGGAAAAAGAGCGCCCAAAAATATACAAATAAGCAAACAGCTACCGTAATACTATTTACAAATCTTTTGGATTTCTCCTGCATCGGTTGTTGATGAATCGAACTTGCTGTCGTTTTGCCAATCATCCTGTTGACTTCTTCAGTTTCAGTTAAGCTCTAAAGAAGTCAACAGGATGATCGGCGAAACGTCAGTAAGTTCGATTCATCAACAACCGACGCAGGAAGAATTACAATTTTTTAGTTTTTTATATACATAATTTTTTTTTAAATGCATTTTTATTCTTATCAACAAAAACTTGACCTCGGAATTAGTTTTGGTTAGTTGAATGGCTACGGGAATTAGTAAGTATTAGACGAGTTAGGGAGTTAGAGCGTTATAGGCGTAGAGGTATTAATAAGGAATAATGTGTTTTTCAGAGGTATTAGTTATCTAACATTTTTAATTTACTTAGAATTAGTGTACATATTTTTGACCGCGATTTACCTGTTGGAGTGAACCCCCTGTCCTTGCTCGGTTATTGTGTATGTTTTCAATTCTGACTGCATTAAAGTTCCCTCTAAAGTTTTCCAAGAAGATCCGTATTTACCCTAGAACGCACCATTTCGCAATAATTGTCAGATTTGCGAAGCCATTGTCAAGGTCGGACTCTTTGTTGTCTCGAATTCCCATCGTTGGTTTTTGACCTCAGGTTTGACGCGCGTCGATCACAGATCGACCATTATAACTTCTTCGAGAAGCGCAAGGCACGGAACGATCCCTGTCTAAGCCCGCATTGAAAAACTGGCGCACATACACACACACACATATACAGACACACAATTTGAAGTGTTAAAAAGGATAAATTTCTCCGCGTTCAGCGGCGGATATAAAAATGAAAAGCGGCAATGTGGCCCAAAGAATGCAGATATACGTCTAAGAGAATTTTCTACTTTCCTACGGTTACGGGAATGTGCGGTATGTGCTCGGGGCCAAACTGTTGTGTTTAAGCGTTTTTGTTCCCCCTTTGCCAGACTTCCTGTCGATTTATCATTTTCGTTTGCCATTTGTGTCAAGTATATGTGGCAAAAAATAAATTTAAGCAGCTTTTCGTTTTGTTTTGTTTTTCATAGTCTCATAAGTGCTAGGATAAGATTTTAATTATTGTTTAGTATATGTTCATTTTT